GGGCCGGCGGCGGCGGCGGCGGCGGCTCCTCCTCCTCCTCCATGGGGCCCCGAGGCGGCCGCGGGTCTGTTCATCCTGCACCCGGGCGGCGGCCGCCAGACAGACAGTGGCTGGGCCCGGGGCGAGAGGCCACTGCCGGGACAGCGATCAGCCCAGGGTGGCCGTCGCCAGGGGCTGCGGAACCTTTGACGTGGGTTCCAGGCGTTGTCGAGGGAACCGCGTGTTTACGCAGGAGCGCGGGGCGGGCCACTGGCCCAGAACCCAGCAAAACGCCTGACCACGGACCACCACGGTAGAGTGTCTCGCTGAGGTCACCCAGCCCCAGGGCCTGAGCTTCAGGGAGTGTCAGGTCGACTTCTGGGGCCACTGTCCCTCAGGTAAAGTGGAACTGGCCCTCCTATAAATGACAATAGTCGACAAGGCTTCACACTCAAGCTCTCCTTGGATGTGAGAAACTTATGGAAGGTCTTGGAGTTCGGGGTAGGAGGACCCTTTGCTTCCTGTGGGTGTTTGTGGTGAAGTGCAGGTAGGAAAGGAATCTTGAAACTAATGTGAAACCCCAAATCTAGAGATCTTAAACTTGAGAATAATTTAAACCAGGTGTTCTCAAACTTTAATCACTCTATGGAATCACCTAGAGAACTTGTTAAAACAGATAATTGGTTTAACTCAGAGCTTCAGACTCAGCTGTATGTAGGTGTGTGTGCCAGGCTGGTTGGAGAGTTTCCAGTGTTGATAAAATTGCTGGTTTGAGAATCAGACTTTGGGAACCACTCATGTGGCGAGCTTATTAAAATGCAGCGTCACAGGTGCCTCCCCTGGGTTTCCAACAGGGATGGTGAGTATAAACCTTACCTCTGGAGAGCTAGGTTACAGATCCTGGAGTTAGGATGCCATCTTTCCAAGGACCTGAGTCTCAGGGGCAAGTAGCTCAGGCATGTGTGAAGGGGTAAAGGAGAGAGATTGTTTCCTTGTGGTGCTGGCAGCCTTCATCAGCATTCTGGAAGAGGGTATGCGGTAAGTCTAAGGTGCTACCAACTGAAGTCGCCACAGATTCAGCTCCAGATATGGGGAGGACCTGGCTGCCCAGGGGAGCTGCATGTCAAATTTCTGTGCATGACCTCTGATAGCAGGAAAGTGTGAAAAACCCTCAGGTACTCTGAAGCAGTGGTTCACTGCTTGGACCCTAGACCAGAGTGTTACTATCATCTAGAAACTTGTTAGATTCACTTGCAGATTCACGGGCCCTACTGAATCTGAAACTCCAGGAGTGGGGTACCTTTGAGAAGTAGTGCTTTAGAAGATGGTTAGTACACTTTCAGGTTTTAGAACCAATAATGTTAGTGCTTTGGTTCTTATTTCAGTAAGTAGAATAGTCGACTGGAAACTTACAACATAAGTAGAAGTTCACTCAGAGTAGTAAACTAAAAGCGGATTTCTCAGCCTCAGCATTATTGGCATTTTGAGCTAGATAATTTTTGGTGTGTTTTTTCCTAAGATACAATGGCAGGGGTAATGAGAGAAGGGGAATATAAGGGATGAATGATAATTTGGGCTCTCTTATAAAGGCCTCGTATACCAAGTTATGGAGGTTAAAGATGCAGAAGATCAGGGAATGGCACTAGCCACTGAAGGAGTTTCAGCAAGAGAAAGCTACGACCAGATACAGTTCAGAAAGGTAAGAATGCCCTCACATGCACCAGGCTTTCCTTCTAGTTTGGCTCAGTGTACTCTACTAGTTTACCTTCTTCTATTTACCTTTAAATGCTGAAGTCTATCATGTCTTAGTAGTTGGCTCCTCTGGACAGCTTCTCATCTCACTCACAGGCAGGCCTTTGAACACTGTACATTTGTAACTCTAAGTTATATCTCTGGTCTCAACCTACAGATCTTGCTCCTTGGCATTTCTCACTGTATCTCAGAAAATGAAAACCTTCCACTTGGCTCACAAACCAAAACCAAGATTCTCTCTAAATACCTTTTCCTCACTATTACCCCATGTCCAATTTGTCACCAAGGCCTGGGGATTTAACTTGTTAAATGTCTTGATATCCATTCCTTCAACATTTCATCTACTGCCTAAAATGTAGCTTTCATCCTTTCTTTAGACTGTCACATCCCAACTGACCTCCCAAAATTCAGCCCACATTGTATACTGTAGGCAGAAAGCATTTCTTTCTTTCTTTTTTTTTTTTTTTAAGATTTATTTGTACATACAGAACTGGGGTTCAGGCCAGAGGCTCAGGGGCGGTGAGAGGCTTCACCAGAGACAGAGTGGGGAGCAGAACAGGCAGATCCACGAAGTACACTGCTGAGGGGAGCAGCAGGCGGGTCAGGAGAGGTCTGCCACGCCATGTGGTCACCTCTGGGACAGGCGGGAATCGAACTCATGTGGAAGTGGCTTTAGCTTCTCAGTGCAGTGCTTTAACCCGCTGCACCACCAGGGAGGGCCAAAAGCATTTTATTTAAAAAAAAATTTATTTATTGATGCATAAAAAACTGGGTTACAGGCCAGAGGTACAGGGATAGTGAGAGGATTCACCAGGGACAGAGTGGAGAACAGAACAGGCAGATTGACTGAAATACACTGCTGAGGGGAGCAGAGGGCAGGTCAGGAGAGGTCTGCCATGCCATGTGGATCACCACCCTGACTAGGGATCGAACTCGTACTGCAGTGGCTGCAATAAGTTCATAGCGCTGTGCTTTAACCCATTGCGTCACCAGGGACGCATGATCATGCCATCCATTTATTTAACCCCCTTATGGTCTTTTGCATTCAAGGTTTCTGATCTTTAACGTTTCCTAGAAGGTACTCTATGATTTGACACCTGCTTCCCTTAGCTTCATTTGGGGGCATTTCCAGTCACCCTATTCTCCCCAATTACCTTGCCTTCCCATTGCCACATAAATTTTAGACTCTCAGGGGAAGCACGACTATTGTCTATGCCTGTGATTAAGTGTTACCTGTCTTTTGTTAGATCTCTAGCACTCAGCAATATGGAAAATTGCTGCATACACACACACACACAAATATTTTTTGAGTGACTTTAGGAGGAGAATCTGGAAACTGGGTGAACAGTTAAAAGCATGATAATAGCACAGGGGAGAGGAAAGAGTCAGAACTAAGACATTATTTCCTACTTTTGGTAATCATGGAATAATCACATGCATTTCACAGTGTCCTTTATTAAAGTAGAGCACATTACAAAATGCTATAACATGTAATCTTCTAGCTATATATATATTTTAAAGATTTATTTATACATATAGAACTGGGGTACAGGACAGAGGTGCTGGGGGGGTGAGAGGATTCACAGACAGAGTGGGGAGCAGCAGGTAAGTCAGGAGAGGTCTGCTGAGCCATGTGGGTCACCTCCTGGCTGGGGATCAAACTCTGCTGCAGTGGCTGTGATAGCTTCACAGTGCTGTGCCTTCAGGGAGGGTCCTTAACTACATTTTTTCAAAGTAATCTGACTTGAGAAATTGAATGATGAGTACCTTAGAATAATTCATTTCCCTTACCTGCTGCTTAAAAAGAGGGCATTATTTTACAGGAAAGCTGAAGAGTAAAATAATGTAAATAGTAAGAGTCACTGTAAGGACTACAATTCAAGCTATTATTCAAAGAACACGTAAAAATATATCAATAGAAATCTCCATAGTCATATGTTTTTAAAGTAGTAAGAACTAAAGTTTTAAATGTATCTGATATTTTAGTAACCAGAAAGAGATTCTGAAAGCTTGTGATATTTTCACCAACATACATATGCAAGTAGGGGCATACTGACTTTATATTTAACTACAGCATACTATGTTAGAAAGGATGGAGGTTGTCTCACACACATAACTGGGATATAATTTTTCACATAATTTAGAGAAAAATTACTTATGGAAAATTACTTATGCTTTAAAAAGAAAGCCCTTATACATAAGTCAAAGGAGTTACTTGAGAAGGAATCCATCCCTCAGTGGATCATCATCTTCTACCACAAAACTTGCTGTGCCCGTGTAGTGAGCTTGTCCAGATACTTCCACTATAACACCTTTAAAATCACCACATTTTGCTTCCTAAGAAAAGAGAAAAAGAGCAGAATATCAAAACACAGCACTCATTATATCTGTCCTAAAAGTCATATTCCTAATTTTTATCAATTAATAAAGAAGTGAATCTTAACACCAGAATGCCCTTTATAATGTTTAAAATAAGAAAATCGTAAGGTTAATGTGAATTAGTAGATTAGAGTCCAGCACATTTTATTATCTTTGTATTTAGCCTCAATAATATGAAGCCCCATTGAAACTTGTACAATAGCAATACAAAGTAGCGCCAAAGTGTAGAGTTTGCTCAGACACCCACGTTCAGAGTGCAGCTCTTACTTGTGCACGCCCTCTGGCAAACTACATAGCCTCTTCCATTCTTCCTGCTAAAAAAAGGTCATAGGACTAGCTTCCCAGGGTTCTTGTGAGGATTAGCAGATAGTATGGAGTAAGTGCTTAGTTTGCAAATCAACATTAGTGAATTAATAAATGTAGATTAATTGAAGATTACGTAAAAGATTTGGTATTTCAAAAGATCACTGTCTTATAGAGGACTCCCCCTACTTAAAGAAAATTCAATGCTCATAAAAATCAACTTTATAAAGAGTATACTAGGATATAGAAATCTCTATTAGGACAGATGGTTTGCTATGTTATGGACTCAGTGACTATAGATTCATTTACTAAATGTCATCCCCTCGCAGATTTCATTTTAGTACATCTCACTGTTCATTTTCCCAAGTAGATTCCTGTATTAGCTCTATTTGTACATTTAAAAGTTGATTACACTGCAGAAATTCTACTCTCTACAACTTTTCAGGACTTTCACATTATATAACATGAGACACCCTATAGAATAGACACAAAAAATTGCATATCCCAATTTAATGGTTCTCAAAGTTTTTGGTATTGGGAGCCACAGAGCCAGTAGTGTCTTGATTTGAGGGCCTCAAAGAGTTTTTTGTTTATGCAGGTTGTGCCAATTAATATTTGTTGTATTGGGAATGAAAAACCTATTACATGTTAACATAAACCACGTATGAAAGTATTTGTCAGAATTAAAACATTAACAAGAAAAATGCTTTATATTTTTGCAACCCCCTTTAATGTTTGGTTCTACAAACGACAGACTGTTATTCTGCTCCTGCACTCAGTCAGTTGGTATATCACACTCACGTAGCCTCTATAGTACTCCACGATGAAATGCCCATGAACAGGATCTTGGGCATTCACAGAGGTTCCAGAACCACATTTTAAGAAACAATATCCCAGCTGGACAAAAGACTTTTACAGACCTGCTCTAAAATTCACTTCTAAGAGCCAGTGAAGAACCTTGTTTAATATCCAACTCATACCACTTCAGCCTCAAAAGTAATACATTTACACAAAAACAAAAGGCACAACTTACCCTCACAGCCTTCCCTGTGAATACTGAGCCAGTTGCACTGCTTTTAAAGGCTCTGGCCTGGTTCAGTTCAAGAAGGCCTTTGTAATACTGTAAGGCAATTCGGGCTGTCACTCCTGAGCCGGTAGGGCTTCTGTCCACCTGTCTCAGAATAAATGGAGAGTGTTCACAGTGTTCTGGGTCCATATTGCCTGGCTGTTTTGGCAAACATTACAACATTAATACCTGTCCATCTGCAAAAACGCAAATGTTGGTGGTTGGTTCCTCACTATAAGCATCTTTTCCATCTGTTAATATAGTTCCATACAAAAAGGCAAGGTCTTCGCTATCAGGATGATGGATTTTAAACTGTAAATTACAAAAAAAAAATATATCAACCACATGTAAAATAAGTCCTTTGATTCAAATTTACTTTCATAAATGATGTAGGTGGTATATCCACAGACATAACTTTTCCATCTTTATTATTTTTGAGTCTTTGGATCCAAGCACTAAATACTATGTCTTTGTCTAGGTGAATGACGTTTCATGGGAAGTTATGATTCTTCTTTCCCTCCTTTTTTTTAAAAAAAGATGTATTTATTTATGCATACAGAACTGGGGCACAGGCCAGAGGTGCAAGGGTGGTGAGAGGATTCACCAGAGACAGAGTGGGGAGCAGAACAGGCAATCGACAAAGTACACGCTAAGGGGAAAAGCAGGTGAGACAGGAGAGGTCTGCTGCACCATGTGGGTCACCTCCAGGGCATGGGACAGAACTCGCACTGAAGCAACTGCAGTTAGCTTGCAGTGCTGCATCCTAACACCTGTGCCACCAGGGAAGGCCCTCTTTCCCTCCTTTCAAAGGAAGTTGCTCTGCATATAATTGCTATTAAATGAAGAGAGCCACTTTCTACACCCAGAAGTGGAAACACACGCGCTCTGTGAAGCACTGACCCTAGGAAGGGTAATCCACAGGTGGCTGGAAGAGGAGGGGTTAAGGCTATCACTTTCCCACTCTTGGGAGCATGAAGTAGGCAATTTGAAAAGCATCAGGTAATAGTTATCTTGCTCTGAAGTTAATACCACTATGAGAAACACTTAGGAGAAGTCATGGAAAGCTTAAGTTATTAGATAAGATAAAGAACTTAGACTGAAAAAAAATATTGTAAAGGATGAAGTCAGCTGGTAACATGAAAAGCAGCAGATACACAGGTGGACTTTGGGACTGAGGAAAATAATGATTCAGGCAATAGAAGTACTTTGTGAACTGCTGCCAGTTCTGCTATTGCTGACAAAGAAACAGGCACTGTCAGGGTAAGGTTAAGTCAAGGCAAGGTTAAAGCATGACCAGGCCCCAATGCACAATGCTTCCTCTTCTTCTTGGCAGGCCTCATGTAACGTTTCCTGGGTTTTTGTAATGACTGAGATTATAATAATCAAACTTTCTCAAACACCCTATAATTAGTAAGTTTCACTACCACTATCTGTCATTTTAGCTATTGGGTAGATTTGGGTTCTTTAAATCCTAAGAGTCCACCTGGAACCAGGTTAAAGAGGCCTGGGCCTTAGATTTTGTTCTCTGTCCTCATGCCCACATGCCACACTCCACCATTACAACACAACAGCACAGCACATTTCAACGAAGCACTTCACAGGAATGCTTGTCTGACTAGACTCAGCACCTTCAAAGTGGGGCTTGTTATATAATTTTTGGTAAAATTTTGCTAAAGGAGAAGTTCAAAATTACTCCTTTTATTCAAAACTACTTCTTTTCTTCTGATTTCATTAAAAATATAGTGAAATTATTTTATGCCAGAGTCATAACTCCACCAGCTGTCTGCTTAATGGAATATAAAGTTGATGGAAATTCAGAGCTTCTGGAGTTAACATGCTAAAATAATTCTGCACATTGATACCTGGACAATCCTGGAAAAGTTCTACTTTAGGAGTGTAGAGTATATTATCATTTTGTTATTTAAGTTATAAATTATGTTAAAGTCTCAGGTATGTTAAGTAGGTCCATAAATAATTACTAGTACAAGTTTATTATTCACTATCTTGCACAAGCTATATTTTATTTAGAATAATAAATTCCCATAGGCTAGAACATGCAAATAGTGCATATGTTTTATTATAGGTCCCAATTTCAAGGTAGTATGATAGCTGTGTTAGAGCAAAAGAATATTCTAGAATTATTACTTATACTGATTTTATCACAATAGTTTTCCCAAGTAAAAACCTGGATTACTCAAGAAGTTATTTAAGTAACTTCTAAGCAGAATAGTAAACATTCACTAAGAGTTATGATCTGTGTGAAATAAGAGATAGTCTGATCAGATTTTTAGGAAATTTGTTTTGTAAGCTGTATTTTACATTCTTTATTTTCAACTTTTGCCAAATAACCACATTTAACAAAGCACATGCATTTCAAATTAATGGGAAACTATGCTACATTTACTATATATAGTTATCATTTATTGAACATTTAGTATGGGTAGGTATTACAAGTTTTTAATATATATTGACTTACAGCACTCTGAAAATTCCCATTTTTCAAACAGGAAAACTCAGGCACATGGAGGTTGTATAATTTGTTTACGGTTATAAAAAAAGTTACAAAGCTAGCACTCCCAAGTGTCTTGCTCTTTAACACCTAAGATTTAAGTCACTATCTTATTCTTAGTACTGTGAATTATTTAAGTATATAGAGTTTTACTTTTCTGATAAGCCTATAATTTATATCCCTCCATGCCACAGAGGGAGGGTATTTCTTAGGACAGCAGTTTATGCACTAACCTGAGTTTTCACTGCTTCTGTTACTGCACTTGCTGCATCCACAAGGTCCCTTGTCTTTGCAGAACAAACATCCAGTCCTAACTTTTCAGCACTAAGAAATGCATAAAATGCACCACCATATGCAATGTCTACTACCACTTCTCCATAACTGGGAACGACCACCAGAAGATCTAAAAAAGTTGAAGATAAATGTTTTTAGCATTTAAGCAATACAATTCACAGCAGTTGTTTCTGTGTATTTCAGGGCTGGGAGCTTCTCCCTGTCATAAAAAGGAATGAAACAAAAGCCCATTCTCAAAATGAGTAAGCATCAGGTAAATAGTAACAGGCCTTATCTTGATGTTCACACAAGTTATATATTTGAAGGTCATGTTTTGCCTAAATCACAAATGCTAGTTTGTTAACTACTCTGAGAATCCTATCAAGGAAACATCATAAAGGCAGAGAAAGAAACCCACCCCCGGGTGATATCAAGGTGTGAAAACTGTGAAGGGTAGTGTAGGTTCCCTTTTTTCTACTAAGGAGCAGTCATGGGAATTTTGGATCCTGTTCACAAATGGTTTTCTCTAACTGTAATGTCAAAACAAGATAAAAAGTTATTTTCCTATATGTGATACATACACACACTTACTCATTGATATATTTTCATCTAATGAAAGTATTTTGCAGGCAGAATCTCAGAACAAATTCATTGTAGAAGCGCTGACCTCTACTGTATTATTTTGTATCAGGGTTTTTACCTAGATATTTTAAGTCCTCAACATACCCAGATTTCACCTGATGGTCATTTGTTTGAAATCTTGAGATGCTTTCCAAAGGATAAGATTTTAAAACTACTTTACCCCTTCTTGCATTGGTCACTGCCTCTGATGAAGTGGGGAGGGATCTGGGAGGAGAGAAAGATCTTTCTGATTTTGTTTATTTATAGGGACTTGTTGGCAAAGGTATTTCCTGAGGGCAGAAATATTTTTCCTGGTCAACAGAGAAATTTCATCTAGATAGGAGATTGAGGGTCCTATCTACAGGAGACCTGGGTTGACTTACCTATATTACTGCAGAATATGGGGTTCATCAGAAGCTGCAGTGAGGAGGGGAGAGACAAGGGTTGATGAAGGCAGGGGCTATATATATGCTTTGCTTGTGAGCTGCAAACTGAGCACCAAAAGATGCTTTTCTTCAAGGTCTTGGCACTCACACAACTTTTGCTCACACATGCATCAGAAAATGGGGTGGCACAAGGACTGGTGAGGCTAAATCAACCAACAGGGTACAGTGGGGTCTGTTCAGAAATTAAGCTGTGTAAAATATTTCTTGTATCTCTAGTTTACACATAGTCCTACAAAGGTACCAACCAGTTACAGGCTAGCCAGCAGAGCCCTGTTAATATGTGATGTGTCAAAACTGAGCAACTTTGCAATCAGGAATTAGTGCCTGTGGAATTTAACAGCAAATGCGAATCAAAACAACATTTTTGATGATGGTGCAACAACATGCTTGATCCTAAGACCTTGCTCTGCTCAACCGTGAAATCTCTAGGGATGCTAGATGAGTTGGGGGGCAGGGCGCTGAATATAGAAAACGTGCAATTGTAGTGCTCAAATTTCTCTCAAGATCACAGGTGTATAGATCAACAAGATAATCGAATTGCATGCACCGCACAAATTCTCAAGGTTATCAAGACGCTGGTAGTTGCAATGATTTAGAATTACCTTTTAATTAATTGCAAAGACTTGTAGAGGTGAGTTAGTTGCGCTGCCCAGATTCCAGCTAGTTAGTGTTAGATTCCGTTACTGTAGTTAGTCGAGTCTTGGTTTACCGCCCCACCAGGGCTGGAAGGGTTACCTGTGGCCAACACGAAAGCCGGGACACTGTGGAAACGCACCGGGCCACGACTGCGGCCACCCTCACACTCCACGAAGGCGGCTACCAGCCCGCAGGGGCAGTGGATGTTGACGCGGGTCTCGCGGGCGCCGGGTGGGGGCGCGGGCACCAGCCCGAAGTCCAGCGCGAAGCGGCCCAGCGCCAGGACGGCGTGACCGCACATAGAGCTATAGCCCTCGTTGTGCAGGAACAGGACGCCCAGGTGCGCTTCGGGCAGCTCGCTGGCCACCAGCACGGCCCCATACATGTCCCGGTGCCCCCGGGGCTCGAACATGAGCCGTCGCCGCACGTGGTCAAGGTGCTGGCGCATGTAGCGCCGCTTGGCCAGCAGCGTGGGGCCGTCCACCTGCGGACACCCAGCCAGCACGACGCGCAGGGGCTCACCGCCCGTGTGCATGTCCACCACCGACAACGCGGGCGTCCCCGGGTCGTGCGGCGGTAGCCGAGGAAAAGCCAGCGCGCTCTCCATTGTCTGCGTGCAGGAACTCGACTGCCACCCGTAGCGCGAGCTTCAGCCCTGGCGGACTCTGGACTGGAGTCACCGCCAGGGATGCGGGGCCACGGAGCGCAAAACAGGAAGCGCTGGGGGCGGGGTTTCAGGAGGTTGCCTGGTTACCAGGAGGCGGAGTCGCCGAGGCGGCGGTGGCCCGGATGTCCGGCCGCTGAGGCTGCATCTGCAGAATCCCGAGCTGCTCCTGGCAAGCCTACCAGCGGCCAATGGGTGAGTGGTCACCGGGCTCCGGGCAGCGTTTCTCTTGGGCCCTACTTCCTCCCAGTTCTGCGGGCTCTGGGCTCGGCCCCGCCGGGCGGCCTCCGGATGGCGCCGCGTCCGGGACCCCTGCCCTCCGGCCAGGTCCGGGACTCCTGCCCTCCGGCCAGGTCCGGGACTCCTTCCGCGGCTGGGGTCGTCCCGGCTCTTGACCTGCCGGGCAGAGGCCGTCGGTGTGCCGCGGGAATGGGCAGGCCCCTGTTATGTTCGAAATATCCCCGCAGTTGCTTTGTTTGACATTCGTGAGCGTTGACTTCAAGATATAAAGCACAGGCTTTAGAAAGTGCGGAAAGGCTGTAAAGGAAGCAGAAGCTAATTGCTGCCTAACTGTTGTCTCCTGCGTATGTGCGCCTGGAGCGAGGTTATGGGACCCTTCACTAAAGGGCGAACCCGTGGCAAAATGAGCGCGGGCTTGAAATTTTTGATCACTAAAGGAAGTGAAGGGGGACAGTAAGCCGATTTGGTGAATCAGGCTTTTGGGACTTACCTTAACTGTCGCCTTCATGTCTATCATCGCGGTGTCAGGGCTTAAGATTTTGAGACCCTTTACTTAAAATCGGGCGTATTTATTGAGCATCTACTAGATGCAAAGCTCATATGGTAGAAGCTTTCAATTCTTTGATTTCTGCCTTCTCAAAAAAAAAATTTGAAACAATTCCTTTACTAATTTTGTACGTTGTGAATACAGTTGGTTAAAATAAGTGCCAAATTAAGGAAAGAAGCCCATGGATTTAAAAATAGGTCAGAAATCTGATAAGAGTGAACATATTTGAGACAGGGCTATTTCTGTCTTTTTCTCAGCAGCACAAAGAGAAAGAAAAAAATCTGGTCAAGTTTGAAAGGTGAAAGGGTACTATGGACCAGGCAGTCTAAATTGTGAATCCATGAAGAATTTGGTAAATGATTGTTCAAGAATAGCTATAAAGTCCGTAATATTCCATATTAGTGTGGATTTACTCCACACCAGGCTGTAGGTTCTTTGAGGGCAGATACTGACCTGTATCAGATCCTAACTAGTGGAATTGGAGACTCAGTACATGTTTCTAAAATGAATGAATTAACTAGATGTCACTAAACAAACAAAACAAAAAATCTCCTTTGATGACTTGTTGGAAGTCAAAGGCCGTTATGGTAAACAGCTGCTTTTTATTTCCCCAAGCCTTGTGATCAGGGGGTTGGTTGATTCTAAGGCAGTATTTCCTAATTACCGGTCACAGCAGTGACAGCTTCCTTGAAATTTTCATCTGTCTTTGACAAAAATTAGGAAAATGTGGCAAGCTTTTCATAAAGGTGAACTTATTTAAAGTTAAAAAAATGCCCTTTTGAAATTGTCTTTTCTGCTTTCCTGGCATTATAATGTAAAGTGATAATGACACAGGTGTGGGCTGTTCATTTAGCCCTTGAACCACCATAGGTCCTTGTCCCAGGAAGCCATTAAAGGCATGCACAGACTTTTTAGGTAAGCAGCAGAGAGAAGCAAACTTCATTCAAGAAAGTAACAAAAAGTTTATTTAGAGGAAAAAGAACAAAAGCAAAGACTTGCCAAGGCAGTGTTGCCAAGGGGAGGCAAAAGATGCCATTATAGGCCTGTGCCTAGGGGATATTTAAACCCTTTTTTCCTGTTCTCTAAAAGCTCATCACCCCATTTTATGGCTGGCTGTCTTAGTAAGGCTTTACTCCTCTGGGCAGATGTGCCCATTTTCCCACCTCTTATTTTAGAGTTTCTCCTGTCCAAAGTCTCCTTAAATTTACTCTCCCAATTAGCCTCACACTTTAGCCTTAAATTTTACTGCCTTAATGTTTACTGCCCTCAGTAGCCTTTCTGAGTTTCTCTGCCATGAGAGAGGCCTCCCTTAACTCTCCCGCACTGTGCCTGAAGCTGCCTGCTTCACCCTGACTTGCCTTGAGACTCAATAGTAGATTTTTTGTGTGCTCATTTAATGGCCTGACTGGGCAAAATAAAGGTGGCCATTCTCTATTAGTCTTCTAATTTTAGAAAATGGAAATTCAGAGGCTTATGTTAGCTGATCAGCAGTGACTGACTAGAGCCTTTGGTGAGATAGGCTGAGTTCTGAGACTAGTTCTGCTCTGCTGATTGAGGATCTAATCGTAAGGAGCAGTATAATAAGGTTCCAGTATAACTTTGCAGTGTCCAAGTATAAAAAGAGAAACTTACATTTTAAAATAAATGCATCAAGCCTTTTTTCTAATATGTAACATTTTTATTGAACTGTGTTAAAATATGCTAATGCTTCAGCTATTGTTTTATTTCTTATTATCATAAAAGATATTATACTGACATTTGTTTTTAAAAAGCTGTCGATATTCAACCAGCATGCCTTGGACTTTATTGTGGGAAGACTCTGTTATCTAAAAATGGCTCAAATGAAATATATGGAGAGTGTGGGGTAAGTCTTTATGTTTCTTTGTTATTTCATGTACAAAATCTTTTTGCTTTTGAGAGAGTTTCAAATGTGTATTTCCCCATCTCAGTTTACAAAAAAATAAGGATTCATTAATAAAGTCTTTATGTTGTATTGACTGATAATACATTTTTTTGCTAGTTATTTTAAAAAACATTTTACAATTTCATGATTAGTTTTAATGTAATATATATATCACAATAACTTGGACATCCAAGTAAATTGACATTAAAACTCCTGAACGTTTCTCTGCAATTATTTTATGGTGTAAATAAGTAGGTTTTTCATTGAATGCTAGTTGTTTTAGTCACACAGTAAAAGGAATTCTGAGAGCATTCTACAGATATAGAAAAATATGTTGTAGACTTTTTTGTTTTACTTAGATTTCCTTTTTTATTTCTAAAAGATGCACCTGTAAACAGACATTTGAACTGAAATGTGTGTCTTTTAGAGTAATTGGGGGATGTTAATGTTCTCAATTAATAAAAATACTGTTTTTTTTAATTATATATTTAGGTGTGTCCAAGAGGACAGAGAACAAATGCACAGAAGTATTGTCAGCCATGCACAGAGTATCCAGAACTTTATGATTGGCTCTACCTTGGATTTATGGCTATGCTTCCTCTTGTCTTACATTGGTTCTTCATTGAATGGTACTCGGGTAAAAAGAGGTAGGCATTTTCTGTGGATGTATCTTGCTGGACTGTTGGCGAAATAATTATCATTTAGAGGATCTTATCAACAATTGTACTTTTACCATGTTCAAAGTAATCCATTTTTGCTTTTTATTTTGACTGTGGCGAGAAAACTTAATGTTAGGGCATGTCTCAGTAATTAAGGGAAGTATGCTTTCTCTTATGCTAAGTGATCTTGAAGGAATTTAAAAAAAAACTTCTCAGTTATAATCATTATTTTTAACAAAGAATTGGCTGTGGTTACAAGCTGTCTGTACATAGTTCTAGAACAAATACTTTGCTATTTGATTCTATATCCGTTATCCAGGATAGTATGAAAAAAGTGGCAAAGCTGTGTCCTAATTAGAACATTAAATAAACAAACACTTAAGAACCATTTTTTTTTTTAAAGATTTACTTATTTATGCAGGCAGAACTAGGGTACAGGCCAGAGTTACATGGGCGGTAAGAGGATTCACCAGAAACAGAGTGGGGAGCAGAACTAACAAAGTACACTGCTGAGGGGAGCAGCGGGTGGGTCAGGGGAGGTCTGCCGTGCCATGTGGTCACCTCCGGGGTGGGGATCAAACTGATGTTGAAGTGGTTTTAGCTTCTTCGTGCTGTGCTTTAACTTGCTGCACCACCAGGGAGGGCCCAACAACCATGTTTTATGTTTAGAAGATCAGGGAAGGACATACAAAATAACCAATGTGGTTTATAGTCATAATCTTGTAGAGATGACAGATGTATACACTAGTAATGTAAATTAGTCTTAAACATATGTAAACAAAATCATCACAAAGAATAGAACAGATCAGTTGTGCCAGTTGGAATCCAAGAAGCTTTTTAAACAAAAGGACAATTTTAGGCAGAAGAAACAGCATGAACAGTGGCATGAGTGGGAGTGGAAGTAGTCTGGGTGATCCAGGTATGATTGCATATGCAAGAAAGGTAGCAAAAGGAGTGCAAAAAAGGTAGACTGAGGCCAAAATATGCAGGCTTTTCATATAGTTGTGAACTTTATTCTGTGGAAAATGAGCCAGGTTCTACCTTTCTACATACAGTCGCACTGTGGTGAAGGGCCTCTTAACTCCTCAGAATATTTCTTGTGTTGCATTCTTTCTCTAAACTTTCTTCTCTACCTTAAGTACTCTCTTCTCGGAGTGGAACTTTTTACTTAGCTTCCTTTTGTCCTTCAGATTTTAGTTCTGCTCACACCTGCTGTTAGGTATATATACAGAACCAACTCTGTATATACAGATACATATACGGAAATAATGCTGTCCTCCTTGGAATGATACCACCCAAGATGTATGGGGTAGATATTTGTCACTTCTGGCACCTTGCTTTCCCTAGAGCTTATTGTTGAATTTGTTTTTATTTAAAGCCAGGTCTGAAACAGGCAAAAATTGCATGGTTTTATTCAATATGGTCAGAGGCTTTATTTCACATGTAATTTGCTATTATGTAATTTAAAACTTTTCAGTATGTTTTCTCAGTCATCATTAGGGATATTTGTAATGTGCCACAGGCTGTAATTCAGAGGACTATAATATGGAGGCTCACAGTCTTATGGATGAGATAAACCAGTCCTAACACTATATGTGAGGTTCTGTAGTAGAGACAAGGACCTTATAACCCGTGATTACCAAATCAAAATAGAGGCATGTACAGAGTTTTAGTACTGGCGTGAGGAAACTAATTTTGCCTTCTCACAGAAGGAATAAACTAAGTTGGACTTTGAAAAATAAGTAGTTTTTGATAGAATTGAAAATGTGTCAAACATCTGGAATAAGGTGTGTAAAAATATAAGGCAGAAAATTACAGTGTAATAAAGAGGATATAGAGAGGATACACACACACAGTATATACCCTGGTTGGGGCTGGGATAGTCTTAGGGAATATTCATAAAACCTGGTAATAACCTCAGAGCTGTATCTGAAGAGACAGTTTACTAGATAGGTGACATGTTTTGAGCTTGCCAAATCTTGACAAGCCAGATGTGTGGAGGCATGAGGAAACAAGGTGATTTAGCATGGCCAGTATAGAAGATAATGCTGATTTTTTTTTTTTCTGAAAGGCAGGAGGAACTCACTTAAGTAGTTTAATACAGAGACTTTTAGAATCATATTTCACTTGTAGAGTTCACATAGTTGGCTACAAATGGGTCGGAAAAAGAGCATGATGGCAAGAAGTGACCAGTAGTGAGGTTAATGAAGTAATGGCAAGAAATGATGAGGTTGGCATTTTGTATCTAAAAAATACAAATGCTACAAGGAAGCAAAAGGTCAGATTACATAATCTGAATGTGTTTGTTCAGTGTTTTCATCTGTATAAAATGCTACAGGAGTTGTGCTTCAATAACATGGGCTAATTTGTCCTTTTAAGAGACCATCCTGCAGGAAACAACTAACATCTCAGAAAGACATTACTTAAGTTATTGCTGGTCTCTCTGGAGGTAGAGGAGCTCTAGATGTCCTCACTTTCAGAAAACAAATCCACCCTCAGCCAACATCAAAGTAACAAAGCAGGCATTAGGATGAAGTGTTGCCTGAGATTATAGCAGCCTTGCAGTCAGGATTCTGAGTCTGGGGCACCCAGGGATGAATACTACCTCAACAGTTGCTGTGGGAGCCCAGGGAAATGGTGGATGGTGACTGTTGGTAAAAGAAGCAAATTCTCTGTGCTGAAAAGCTTTCCTGTTCTCAGTTTTGATTCACAAGACATTTGCACATTCCAGTCTGTTAAGGATCTCATAATCCTTGGTTACTAAATAAAAATAAGCATTATGACAGAGTTGATGAACACAATAATTATACAACTATATATATAGGTTCCTAAAGGACTAACGACAATGGGTTTTCAGCTATAGAATATGTAACTGCTACTTATACAAAGTTTAAAGATACAAAGGATGCAGCAATAAGCTCTCCACTGAATAAGAGGCTAATAGGAATGAATAACATATGTGATCAGGAAAAACAGGAACCTCCTAGAAATGAAAATTCATACTTGCTAAAATGAAAAAAGTGTCAGTCATCAGATAATTGAAAGTAGAATTCATGAGTTAGAGAATATATATACATAAAGAAGTAACAATGTAACACTGAGAAAGAAGATGGGAAATATGAAATATGTAAGAGACAGGAAACATAGCATGAGAAGTTGCAATATGCTTCTATATCTACAGGGAGCCTTTCAGGTTCAATAAAATGTTCAGGTTGTGGCCTAAGCACCAGTCTGCTCATAATGAGCACAGCTTGCCAGCAGGGCAGCATGAAACTTCCCTTGTTAGCAGTAGCTATTGAAGCATATCAGCTCAGGCACAAGGACCTGAGAACCACACTGAGTGAGTGTGGAGGTCATCCAGGCCAAAGTCTTAGTGTAAATGGAATCATTTTCTGTTGCATCGGGATAGCTTCCTGGATCCTGCAAGGGACAGGCCAGTTACAAGAATCACTGAAAGAAAAGCTAATCTGTGGCGTCCCCATCAGGTGTTTATAATTCCTGCCAGAGTACCTGCAATTTACCAATTAAGGGATTATTTGTATCACAAGCAATGTTAGCTAATAATAAAGTTAACATTCTGTCTTTGCCAGGCTTCCAGAGGAGCAGAACAAGAGTTAACTGAAGGTCAGATTCTCACATACAGGGAAAGATTTTGTTAGCTCTTTGCCCAAAGTATTTAGTCAGAGCTCTGGAAAAAAGAGACAAAATGAAGGAGAACCAGTATGTAAAGAAATGCTGGCTTCTAGTGTTATAGAGTATGAAAAAACAGATTTTACCACATTGTTTTCTTCTGGGAAGTAAAACACATTTCAAGAAGAGTAAATGAAAAGAAGCTGATGCTTTCGCTCATTACATTTAAACTGCAGAACACCAAAGACAAAAACACCGCAGAACACCCTACGGTGCTCTGGTCAATAGTCTCAAGTTGTGTTCAGAGCACTGAGAGTTAGTCCTTGCGAATACTGCAGCCTCTGGGTAAGTGCCTCCCACTCAAGAACTAGGATGCAGGACAGACGCCCAAGGTTAAGCCCAGGCAAACCACGAAATAGAAATAGTCAAGCTGTTTAGCTTTGGGATAGTTTGCTGTGCAGTGAGAGATAACTGAAACATTGTTAAAGAACTCAAACTTTGAAGACTAGACAGTAGAAATGCAAGCGCTTAGTAAAGAGGTGACTATCAGGTTGATATACAAACTCATTTACCTTCCTATATTCCATTTATAACATAAATAATATGAAGTAACTAACACCAAAGTAACTAGTCTGTGGTGGATTTACATTGTGGAGTTTGGCGAGTAACTGTAAAGTTTATGTGGAACTGGAAAGGTCATCACCACCGAAACCAGTACCATTGAAGAAGTAGAAGGCAGCAGGAACTGTCCAGAATTATTATCCCAGTCTGTTGGGTCAGGGATAGATAAAAGGACAGCAGAAGGAAATGGAGAATCTAAAGGCAGACCAGTTACTACGACACTACACAGAAGTGGCAGTGTTACTTAGGATCAGTATCCTTTTTTAGTAAACCAGGCTAACTCTTCTCTGTCTTCATATCTCTTTGGCTTTTACCCATTTAGAAGACTTGTTAGTTTCTGTTGAAATTTCTTTTTAGAATCTGCATCTTGAAACATATACAGGTTTTATTTAAAGCCATTTAAATATTGAAATCTGTGGTAATTATGCTTCCTTTTTTTACTAGTTCCAGTGCACTTTTCCAGCACATCACAGCATTGTTTGAATGCAGTATGGCAGCTATTATCACCTTACTTGTGAGCGACCCCGTTGGTGTTCTCTATATCCACTCATGTCGAGTGTTGATGCTTTCTGATTGGTACACTATGCTTTACAACCCAAGTCCAGATTATATCACCACAGTGCACTGCACTCATGAAGCTGTCTACCCCCTGTAAGTGTTCATTTAGACTTCTGTTTTCTTTATTATTGATCAACAAAAGTCCTTGTGCATAAAGTCGATTGTGTATTCTAGATTGGTTTGCTTTCATAAATTTCAGCAACTAAACTTGCTGGATCAAAGCATGAACATTTTTAGGATTTTTGAGACCCATTTCTGAAGTTCCTATTGGAAAAGAATCAGCATGTCCTTTCCATTAGTGTATGAGTGCTCTGAATACTCAATAAACCTAACATACTTTTTAGACCTTCTAATATCTTTGATTTAAAGCAATGATAGTTATTTTAAAGCTTATATTTATGTTCAAATTTCTTATTTTATAGGTACACCATTGTATTTATCTATTATGCATTCTGCTTGGTATTAATGATGCTTCTCCGACCTCTTCTGGTAAAGAAGATTGCCTGTGGGTTAGGGAAGTCTGATCGCTTTAAAAGTATTTATGCTGCACTTTACTTCTTCCCAATTTTAACCGTACTTCAGGCAGTTGGCGGAGGCCTTTTATGTAAGTTTAAGGGATAAAGTGGGTGAAATACCGTTATTATTACATGTGATACTTTTAGTATTATTTTAGAACTTTTTAAAATAGTTTCTCAACTCTTATATATATTTGCTAAAGCAGTTTTTTTGTTTTGTTTTGTTTTGTTTTGTTTTGTTTTGTGAAGCAGAACTGGGTTGTATAAGCCAGAGGTGTGGGGGGTGAGAGGTTCACCAGAGACAGAATAGGGAGCAGAACAGGCAGATTTACTGAAACATACTGCAAAGGGGAGCACTGGATGAGGCAGGAGAGGTCTGCATTGTCATATGGGGTTAACTTCCTGGACTGGGATCTAGTGATAGCACTGAGATTTAATCTCTAGGTCACCAGGGAGATCCTAGTCTTATTTTTAAGAACTATAGCTTTCTTGGAATGAAATAAAATTCTCAAGAAATCAGTGGCAATAATTTAATCTGATTTATATTTATAGAATGGCTTGTATTTGCAGCTTTTAATCTAAATAGGAAGATTTTAAAGTTTTTTTGAAAAATGCAGTTTAAAAGAAAAAAGCTCAGTACTCTATTTTAATATATCCGTTAATCAGTAACCATTTAGGTTGAACTGCAATGCAAAAGAAGAATTTAAAAAGTGAAGAGACACATAGGAAAGCTATAAATAGTTGAGAGAACATAGTGTGGTATTTATTTAAATATGGTACATTAAACGATGCAAGGATATTTGTACCATCTTTTCAGTGGAGCCTACTAGGCTGCAGAAGGCAAGCCTCTGGCCTCAAGGTACTAGTCAAAATTCAGCAACACCATGCAAGTAGTGTAGCCTGATAATGAATTTGGTTCAATGTAAGGGCAAAGCTGAGGGTAAGGCCAAAGAAAAGGTAGTTGGAGACTAGTGTTTTTCCCTTATGTTCTGGTTTAATCTTAGCTGTATTGCTTCACTTGACCTACAAAGAACCAAGTCTTTTTATCTCCTGTCATTCCCAATTTTTTTGGATTTGGTTGCCCAGTTATTTATCTGCCTAGCTGGTTTTTATAGGCCTTTGACATTGCTGTGATTGCTCTAGGGAAGAGAGACCTAAACTCAAAGGGATCTGAGGCAGAAGACTGATATAATCAGTTTTTTGCTTTAGGAACATAATTTGGTAGCAGTGTAGTTGATGGATTGGCCAGGAAGAGGAGTACCTGTAGGAGCAGTTATGAGATCATTACAGTAATAAACCAAGCCTAACTGACCCAGAGCAGCGATGCTCTGGAAATGAAGGACTTTCTTGAAGATGTAGGTAGCTACTTAATAAGCTAGGTAATTAATACAAGAATTGAGGGAATAGGAATAAAATATGATAAATGACTTACTTAGTAACTGGGGAATGATTCTACTTAATATTATAAACAGCAGATAGGTTGGTCAGTTCAGTTTTAGGTATTCATAGAATATCCAAGAGTACAGGTTTTCATGCTAATCTAGAACTAGGGAGGGCTGTCTAGGCTCAAAGATAAGAATTGTAAGCTTTCAGCTCTGTATTTTTAGCCTGTAAGTGGTGTTGTTATATGGAATCTTCTTGGTTATGAGATGGAGGAAGGGGGACAAACTCTGAAAAGCAGGGAAGGACTTGGAAGGGCCTAGAAGACAGCACTGCCTCTTATATTGTAGCTGTCTGTCAAACACCTTTCCACCCTTCATGTCTTTAGATCATTAATCTTTAGATACACTCAGAAACATTCATAGATGATCCAGGAGATTACTCATTCTCACGAAGTGTCAGCTTATGCAGTCTGCTGAAATTCATTACAGAGGGTATTATATCAATTCAGTTTAATGATATTGAAAAAAATAGAGATTTTTTTTATTTGTAAGAGTGTCTTACTCAGTTCAGTCTTCTGTAACAATACCATAGACTGGATGGTTTACAAATATCAGAAAAACATTTCTCACAGTTCTTGATGCTGGGAGGTCCAAGATCAAGACACCAGTGGATGTTGGGCCTATCAAGGGCCTGCTTAGTTCATAGGTGGTCTTCCCAGGACAGAAGGGGAGAGCTCTCGCTAGGGTCTCTTATAAAGGCATTGGCCCTATTCATGTGGACTTAACCTCATAACCTAACCACCTCCAGATACCATCACATTGGAAGTTATAATTTTAATATGAAACTATTGGGGGACACAAGCATTCAGATCATAGCAAGGGAATATAGAAGTCAGATATTTGTTCTCAGTTTATTTAGTGTGTGAATGTAAAACATTTCTTTAAGAGAAAGGTGTGGGCATTCTGTAAGAAAAAAATTTGTTTAAAATACTACTGTACTCTTTGAAATAGCCATTTATAAAATTTTGAAGAGCACTGAACGATCCATTATCCTATGATAGGTGAACTTTCCTAAATAATAAAGTTGATTACTTTTCTTAACCAAAGCCCCCTGCTTGGATCAGAAAATTATTTGTGTGCTTATTTTCTCATTTCTCCCAACTTTCATACATGGCTAGTATTCTAGCTGTAGGAAAAAGGTTAATTCTTAATATTCAGTTGATGTCATAAGCAGGGGATCTTTAAAGCTTGTTTAGGATGGGTTCACAGTTTCAAATGGGAGGAAAAATGAGAAAATAGTATTTTTGACATGTGAAAATTATATAAAATTCAGATTTTATTGCCCATAATGCTTTCTTGGAACACATATGTGCTCATTTATGTGTTTGCCTAGTATTCTCACTTCACTTGTGGAGTTGAGTGATTGAGGTAGAGACTGTCTGAGCCACAAGGCCTTTAAACGATTGAGACTGTATAGCCCTTACAGTTTGCCAGCCCTGCCTTAAGGTATTAGCGCTTACGTCTCTCCTAGAACTGACTGAGTTTTTGATTATGGGAAATTATACTGTTTGAATTTTTGTTTTATTCAGAAAATGTGTTTAATTTTTAATATAACACCAATGTTTGCTTTTCAGATTATGCCTTCCCCTACATTATATTAGTATTGTCTTTGGTTACTCTGGCTGTGTACATGTCGGCTTCTGAAATAGAGGTAGGAAATACTTTTTCTTTTGTGAAATTTTTTTTAGGATAATTTTGAGAATTGAATAGAGTAGACTCATTGTTATGCTATACTATTGATTCTTGTACTGATTTTGTCCCCAGTTTTATTGTCATGATTGTGGATACTTACTTTACCCTCACTATTTTGGTGATTTAGAAATACTAGTAATCTTTGGCCAAATGCAGTCACTTAGCTTTATAGCTTATTTAGTTTATGAAAGATTATATAGGGGGCTATATTTTCTTGGGAAATTAATTAACTAGTTGGACTTAACTGTCTAGCATTTTGGAGAAAAGTCATCTTATTTTACTCACACTGGAAGTAATTATTGAAATATTGAAATTTACTAACACTATTTTGAGAGAATTAAGTTTGTACTTTTACAGTGGCAACACTGTCATTTGTAATTTTATCTGTGTTCCATGTCCTTGTATATTTTGTCCCCCATTTTATTTTCACAATTGTAGATACTTACTTGGTCCTCACTGTTTTGTTGATTTAGAAATAACATTAATAATCACATTAGTTGTGTTACTGTTCCTGTTTTGAAATATACTTTTAAAAATAAAACCTGTTTATCGAGGTAATGTTGGTTTTATAACACTATATGTGTATAGGGAGCTGAAATAGACTTTCTGTGCCTCTGATGTTTTAGTACTTAAATGGAAGGCCACTATTACTTAGAACTTTCTTTTGAGGCTAAACTCCAAAGAAATACAAGGGTAAATAAGGTGTCTTAGGATTCTTTCTCCTATGTGTGCTAACCTAGTGTCTATGTATTAACTTAAACTGACAATAGTTAAAGATAATGTGGTTTCTCAAAATTTTTAACATAAAAAGTTCAACCGAGAGAAAGTTAACTCTTTTGGAGTGGTTATTGTTAATGGCTCTTTTCCATCATATTAGGGAAAGAGTGAGAACAAAAAATCCTAATGACTTTTAGTAGAGGAAAAACACAGAATCTTTGGTATTTTTTCAAATGTTTTGTGTACTGTTCCCATTTTCTCTGTAATCATGCATCAATAAGGCAACGTACTTGAAGACAAGCAAATTGAATTGTTATTTATCAGTTCTGAAGAAAGATTTGCGGGGTGAAATTGAATATGGCTTTAAATTTTCATTATCCATTACTACTGTGGATACATACAATAACTTGAGTCAGAAATGGAGACCTGGATCAGGAAAAGAGTCTAGCTCTAACTGAATTGATGAGGCATTTAACAAGAGATACTTTGTAGTTAATTTACTGCAAATTAAATTTGGCTGTTTCTTACATAGTTAGATACTACTTTCTATAATTTGGCCCTTTCAATTTCTGCACATTACAGAATAGATTACAAGGAAATCAGTAATCACATTGATTTCTGCTTCCTTATAATTATGGAGGCTCTAGGCTCCAGCAAGAATGGATTAAAAAAGTTGGGTGTCTGGGCTTCCTGTAATCTCAGCTGCTGCAGGAAGCCTGTTTGTTCACCTGTACAGTACAGTGACCAAACTGAGTGAATTTATTAGCTTTTTAGCTTTGATTTTGAGGTTACAATTTTGCATGGAAAGAATATTTTAAATTAAAATGTAACAAATAATCTGATTCTCCTTTTTTTTTTTTTTTTCATTAAATTGTATAGAACTGCTATGACCTTCTGGTCAGAAAGAAGAGACTTATTGTCCTCTTTAGCCACTGGCTACTCCACGCCTATGGAATAATCTCCATTTCCAGAGTGGACAAACTTGAGCAAGATTTACCACTTTTGGCTTTGGTACCCACACCAGCGCTTTTTTACTTGTTCACTGCAAAATTTACTGAACCTTCACGGATACTCTCAGAAGGAGCCAATGGACACTGAATGTACGATGCCAAGAAAAGTATATTTATACTATTGTCATACATGAAATAAGTGTATCTTAGTGTTTTGACGTAACAGTTTTAACTGTCAGTAAATAACAGGAATTTCAGACATTTCTCCGTCTGAAATTACACAGTATAATACACTATGCACTTAGCATTGGCACATGATACTAGATGCCTATTAGGGTGCACTTACCTCCACAACAATTCAGATTTTAGGGCAAAACTATGTCCTTGTGTACCCAGAGACGTGTGGTTTCCATTTCTATTAAGAAAAACTTAAGTATATAATCTGAAATCCTTAGCATTGGCACGGTTGTGCATGCCCTTGTATTTCAGTTATAATGCATTATAAGGACAAACATTTGTGGGAGGTCTCATAACAAACATGGAAGTAAAGTATGTTGTTTTTGTTACCTATTTATTTTCACCAATGCAGTATTTTGATCTGTAGAAAAATAGAGCATAACTTATTTAACAGGTTATCTGTTCATAAGGTAGTTTGGTTGTAGACATCGTCAAATTATTTCTTTTTCTGTAACGAAAATAATAAAATTTAATCATAAGAAATGTCAAGATTAGTATCTCTTTCCCAAGTGAATATGTATTCATACTCAAATATTTCCTTGCTTTTATATTGCATTTTTAAGGCTGTATATACACATACCCTATTTTTTATTGATCTCAAGACACTTCACCCCGCCTCCCCCCCACATAGTAACATCTCCGATTTGGGCTGCACCTTTAAAATTGCTTTCTTCTCAAAGCTCTCCTGAATAACATGGAGACATTATACTCCCAGTCTTCAAACTGTTACTACAAAGCCGTAATAATTACACAGCGTGGTACTGGAACTATAAGACACAAACCGATGCATCAAATTGAAAACCCAAAGTCACACACGTTTGGTTAATCTGTGACAAAGGAGCAAAGAACACTATACTGGATTATGCCCTGGAACAGGATAATCTCTTCGATAAATGGTCCTGGGAAAATTCGACCACTACATGCAAAAGAAAAACTAGTCTACCACTTCATATCATACACAGAAACAAACTCAAAATGGATAAAATACCTGAAGTCATACATCTCACAAACATCTTTGAAAACTCATCCCATGAAGCAAAGAAATTGGAGGAAAAAAAAACAGCTGGGACTACATCAAGCTAAAAATCCTCTTCAGCAAAAGAGACATAAACCAAAACAGACACCCTACAGATTGGGAGAAAATATTTGCACCCCGTACAATTGCTAAGGGACTTATATCAGAGAGCTTATACAACTCAACAAAAATGATCTAGTCAAAAAACAAAAAGGGCAGAAGAGTTAAAAAGATACTTCTCTAGAGAGAAAATGCTCAACTGCACTTACAGTCAGGGAAATGTAAATCAAAACCACAATGACATATCACCTCACAGCAGTAAAGGTGGCCCACACTTAAAAAATCTGACAACAAATGCTGGCAAGGATGTAGAAAAAAGAATGCTCTTAACAGTGCTGGTGGGAATGCAAACTGGTCCAGCTGCTATGGAAAGCCATATGGAGGACCCTGCAATTATTAAAAATGGATCTACCATTTATGACCCTAGGTGTGGGTCTTTTCATAAATGGGCAAAAATTTCCATAAATGGGCAAACTGCAATGACCCACACCTAGGAATCTACCCAAGGGACACAAAAATATTAATTCAAAAGGAAACCTGCACCCCTAAGTTTATTGTAGCACTATTAGGTTTGGAAACAAACCTAACTGCCTGAAAACAGGTGAATGGAACAAAAAGAAGTTGTACATGTACACAGTGGAATACTACTTGGCAATCAAAAGTTGAACTCATGCCATCTGCAGCAACGTGGATGGAGCTAGAAGAATTATGCTTAGTAAAATAAGTCAGAAGGAAAATACCAGATGACATCATTTATTAGGAGGAATATAGGAAAACTGAACAAAAGTTCAAAAAAAAAAAGTATAGACAACTATAAATCTGAGGTTTAAAGCTGGGAAGGGGGGGGAGGAAAATGATCAAAATGGGTGGGAAGAGCACAAGGGACCCTGGTGATAGTTCACAGGTTATGTGGTGGGATTTTTACAAGGACTACACCTGTGGGGAGAAATCAAATACTATACAAAAATGAACAGCAATGTAAAAAAAAAATTAAGGGTAAAATTGATGGCTTCTTAGATCTAATGAAGTAGAAAGGATATATAAGTAGCTTTCTTGTGGTAGGTTTTGACTGGGTGTCCTATTAATGCTTTGAAGGTTTCAAGATATCCATGGACAAAATGAAATTTTTGCACTTGAACTCCTAATCTGACTGTTTATCCATTTGTATTATATAGATGGCTATTTACTGATTGGGTTTTCTGTTGGGGTTGCATGAGTTTGTTAAATCTCAATCTTAAGACTTTGACAGTTGCAAATAGAGAAAATGCACTCACGTTTTATTTTCTTCATGCCTTTTGAATTCCCTTTGAAGTTTCTTTTCTAGTTTTTCTTTGTCAATATTTTTTTCATAGTACATTCAGTCTCTGAAAAGTGGACCTTTTTTATATGGCTCTTTTTCTTCTTTTCTATAAGAATAAAAAGAAAATGTAAACCATATATATATATATATATATATATATATATATATATATATATATGTATGTATGTATGTATGTATCTCACACAGGTTTGGGTGGTTATTAGTGTCCATTGAAATCCTAAATTGTCCAAAGAACCTACCGTTGCATCGCTGAAAAAGGGTAGGGCAACAGGCTGGGAGTTGAGTGGTTATGAGTTTGATTGCCAAACTCTTATCTTCCCACTAAACTTGGAGCCGTTTTAGCAATTACCTTCCCAGATGTTCTATTCGTGCAGAAGAAAAATGAGTATACAAAAAGACAAACTATGCAATAATTATAAATCCTCAAAGAATTTTATGAATACTTAATATGTATTTTTTTAAAGATTTATTTATTCATACAGAACTGGGGTACAGGCCAGAGATGCAGAGGATGAGAGGAATCACCAGGGACAGAGTGGGGAGCAAAACAGGCAGAGACGAAGTACACTGGTGAGGGGAGCAGCGGGCGGGTCAGGAGAGGTCTGCACGCCATGTGGATCTCCTCCAGGGCAGGCGGGGATCGAACTCATGGGGAAGTGGCTTAAGCTTCTTAGTGCTGTGCTTTAACCCGCTACGCCACCTGGGAGGGCCCACTTAATATGTATCTTACATTTTAAATTTGCCTTCTTAAGAACAAGACAAACAATTACTAAATAATTTAAAAATTGTTCATTAAAAATGTAAAAAAACCCAAATCCTATAACAGTTTGGCTTTGTTAAATTTTGAAGTATGTCTTTGCAGTGCATTACAGCTAACTGTGACAGTATATCGTAATTATTTCTCTAACCAGTGCTGGTGAGGGAATTTCAACATCAAAATATTTTGTTTAGTTTGGATCAACTGAGTAACAGTTATGTAGTTACATATTTGCAACTTAATTCTAAAGAACTGGCTGTGCTTTGGAGCCATCTGGAAAGCATGTCTGGGGTCCACCCCCAAAGATTCATGGTGAATTGGTCTGAAGTGCAAGCCAGGCAGAGGGGTTTTAAAAACCTCCCAGTTACACCAATATTTGAGAATCATAGTCTAAGTGTTCTTCCTAGTTCTGAACAATCTTGTTTTTTCCCGAGATAATTGTAGATACTTTCTGGATAAATTAATTTATTTCTTGCTGAAATTTTGATTCTCCTCTATAGGGTTTTTTTTTTTTTAATGTCAATGAACACAAAAAAGATATATCATGTCCCTTTTCAACACAATAACCAGAAAGATAACTTCAACAAGGCAGATACAAGAATTTTATCTTTTAAAATACCTTTTGGCCTGATATCTTCTGTAGAATACACATTAAATTATATTTGATTAGTACACTGTTGATCTGTAACCTAAGTTCTAGTATGCGGCATAGTAGTAAAGGATTTTGAAAATTTCAGAATAATGTTTATTCTTTTTAAAATTGTCTCTCAGATGCCATTTGATATTTTAATACACTAAAAATGGCTACCTTTTGTTTGCAAGAAAAAATTTCAAGATAAACTAGTAAATTTTTGTTTTCAGGACAAAGCCTGACATTTTGGTTCTCACAGGCCTGCCCCCAATGTTACCGACTGGTATTCCCAGCAGGTTACTTCACCATGCCACTTCAGTTCCCGACCAGCACAACTGTGTGGGTGTGCTCCAGGAAGATACCCCTATGTAGTCCCAGCTCCATGCAGACTTACGAGGCCCTGAGTCTCATTGACTGGAAACCACTATCTTGTGTTCATCTCTTTGTTTTCCAGTGTGTGCACTTTTTAATTTGGGTAAGACTGTGGTCTTACTCAATGAGTTATTCTAGTACCAGGCTCAATGGTACCCAAAATGTTAACAAAGCTAGTGAAGAGGTCCTGAAAAAGAAGGCCAAGACTTGCAGAGGACAGAAGGCCTCTGAACAGGATGAGAGCCAGGGCATGTTAGAAGTTTCCCTGCGATAGAAGTCATTCAGCAGGGAACATCCCAAGGCCTGAAGATGCTAAGCTTCACAGAGAAAATTGAAGAGTTCAAGGAGACACGAGTGACTATTATCAGGAAGGTGACTCATTTTGGAGACCTGATGAAGGCCTAATATGGTCTAAAACTCTGTTAGTTCTCCATATTTTGCAAGCAAACTAGAAGTGGAGGTCAAATAGCATATAAGATGCAAAGCTGACATTTGAGTTTGGGTCTAACTTTCCCAAGAGGCCACAGGGTGCCTGGGAAGCCAGAAACCTTCCATGAGGTCTCAGCTCCATTTCCAGTTCTTCAGAGACTACTCCCTGATTCCTTTATTATTAGGTGAAGACTCCCTCTCTAGGTTCTTAGACTCCTGTGTCCTGTGTTCATTGCACTTAATGACATCCATTTCCACAACACATTTTCCTCCACTGTATCAGCAGCTGAAGAGGCTACCAAGACCTTATGGCTAGCCATGACAAAAAGTATTACCTGACCCTCTAAAGTTTATAGTCTCTCTACTAGACTGCACTTCCACTTCGGCAGGGTCTATAGCTTTTTAATCACCATTGTAACCCCAACCTAACATGATAGCTTGGCACAACATAGTATTAGTGGAGTACGGTTTGCAGCTAATAGTGAAATGTGGAAGGAACCTCAAACACAGGAGTGATTTCCGGTGTCATAAGGTTCAACAGGCAACCTTGCAATGACTGCAAATAGCACTGGGACTTTTAACTGAAAAACTTCCAACCAATACGCTACTGACTGAAAAATATAATTTCAGTGAGAAAACACTTTAATAAAACCAAGTGCTATCATTTCCCTTTTCATTAACAAAAGAACATTTTTATTTTTCCCACATTGGTCATTGTGTCCAAGTTTGTTCATCATTGTGGGGCCCTGAGCTAGGAATTTACCCCTTGTTCTCTCAATTGTCCCAGCCTGCATGACCACGTGGCTTTGCCACGTTGCCAACAAAGCTCACCCTCGGAGTGAACAGAAGACGAGTATTAATGCTCTAGTCCAGGGGTTGGCAAACTAGTCAATTACTTCAGTAAATAAGAAATAGTACTGAAACCTGTCAGGCTTGGCAGGAACCATCTGTCAGGAGATCCGCCCCTGCAGAACAGCAGCAGCCTTGAGAAGGAATGAGCATGGCTGAGGGTCACTAAAACCTGGTTTGAGATGGGACATGCGATTTTCTGAAGTCAGGAAATAATCCTTTGGGTTTTCCCCCCCAGTGATTTACAAATGATAAAAACTATTCTTAGTTCCAGGCCCTACAATAAAACGGGTGGCTCAGTCCCCAGTCTATAGTTTACCAAACCCTGTTGTAGATAGTAGACTTGCCCAGGGATCACCACAATCTTAACACCTGAGAAAAAAGGCAGCAACAGAGACCAGGGAAAAGAGTTCAAAGGGCTTCATAGTCCTATTTAGGCTGTGACTTGCTGTGGGTCCACAGTTTGGTTACATAAACAAGCTTGAGCAGAAATGGTGACTGAAGGTGGGAGTTCTAGGTAGTCTTCAAGCTCAGAGTTTCACTTACAGCATATGTCCTGATTATAGACATGATGTATGTGCAATATTAAAACCTAGACAACAGGAAATCTTAAAAGCTACTGAGTATAAATAGAACTTCGAAGGTTTGCTTTCTGTGTGTGGACCGATTATCATGCCCAAAGTTGGCTTTAGAATCTAAAACCTGTGATCTAGAGTCTGCATCAGAGCCAAATTGCAACAGACCAACCTTTGATAAGAGAAAGAAGGGGTGGGAGTTCTCCAGTGTGGTCAAGAGATAGCTGTTTTATAGCCACTGAGGGCTTCAGGTCAGCCAACTGACCACAAAGCCTGTCCTGCTTGTTGCCTGCTACCATTAGGGGACCAGTAAGGAGCAAACTCTGAACCTGGTAATGACATCCTGAGTGCACTTTACCCACTGATATTTTTAAGACTCCACCTCCAATTCCACACCAAAGGGAGCCCCCAGACTACAATTCCCAGCATACCACAAACCCGACTTCCTGAATGGAAGGTCACTGGAAACTAAGGGCAGAGTGAGGCAGGTATGCTTGGCTTATAATGTATGCACCCTTGCTTTCCAGATTTTGACTTGTACTCAGCTCCAAAGGCAATAATGGTAGGACATGTCAACCAATTAATTCTCTCTGTCCCCCTGTCCCTGTCTGTTTCCCTCCGTCACCCTCCCTCCACCTCCCCCTCACCCCCATCTGTCTCCACCCCTACCTTCTCCATCACTCTCCCTCTGCATTCACTCCCTGTCTGTGTCTTCTACTCTGTCTCTGTCTGTTTCTCCCTGTCTGTCTGTTGCCTTCTCTCCATCTGGATGTCTGTCTCTCTCCCTGTCCCCATCTCTGTGTGTCTCTCTCAGTCACCCCCACCCTAGACCCCTTGTAAATAAACCGTTAATTTTTTTTCCCCTGTTCCCTGCTTTGTCTAGTCTGGAGTTCTTAAGCATGAGGGTGAGGACTTATACCCAGGTCACCCTGGGTACCCCTGGGACTGCCCTGTAACACCATCAACTGCCCCAAGCCAACAACCTCAAATCAGAACTAACCCTTTCTTATTCTCTCTACCATTGAATTTTTGCCAAGAGCAAATAATGACAATTCTGGCTCCCTTGCTGTGCCAAACTCTATGTCTCTGCTTGTTCTCATGTGGGTGTCTGCCTTCATTTCCACCTGCAATTCTCTACTTTCCATAGATCATCAATGGACAGTCCTTAAAATGAGTGAAAAAGGGAATATATTATTTAGTGGGCTTAACTTTTCAACAGTCTCTCTAAATTTGTCCCACTATAAAGTTCCACTGGTTTTGAGACAAAAACAGATTTACCTCCTGTGACGCTAAGTGCAACTGACATGACTAGAGATGGTGTAGCCTCGCGATCCGCTTCATGGCTGCTGGGGGAGGCAGCAACTGCAAGGCCAGGCCCGGCCACCCACCAGGGGCCCTGGTGGACATACACGTTTTGTATCTCTGGGCTCCAGCAGGACAACTGTGCCAGCTTTTTAGCTGAGGAAGCGGTTTACCCACACAACTCTTCATTGATCAATGAAACATTTCTTCTGTCAAGTAATGCCTTAGGAATATCAGTTTTCCCAAATATCAGAATATTTTTATTCCTACCACTTCTTTCCGTTTTACTTTTATATTATCCTATTTTACTTTCTAAAACCTACCTTTAAAATTGCTTATCTAATGATGGTGTTCTTTAAAATGAAACCTTGATAGCCTTTAATAGATTCATGCGCTTGCCAGGTGGCATTTTGCCCCTATGTGATTTTGCCTCAGATCTCTGAACTGTCCTGGGCAAGGGTCCCTCCGTTTCTCACCATGGCCCAAATTTGGATCGAGTTCTGCATCACTCGTGTCAAACATGACACCACAGTGGCCACTGGTGATGAGAACAGTCCTCCTGCTTGCTCAGGAGGCTAACATGTTACACAGGGTGTGTGAACACCTCAGGAGCACCGGGAGGCATCACCAGATTGCCAGAGAAGACTATAGTTGCTATTTTTAATGTTACACTCAGCTTAGAAAGAAAAAGGTAAAAGGTGTTCAACAGCTTCTGTTTAAGTAGGCAAGAAAGTGTATCAACATTCAAGAGGCTTTTGGGAAAATATTTACATTAAGGATTGAGGAGATTCAATTATTTAGAAAACATGCATAGGTGGGAGACAGGTCCAGACACTACCACACCAGATTCAAGCCCACAAAATGAGAATCTGCGTTAGCTGAATGTTGTGACGTGACTGGGTTGTGTTACTGGGATAGCAAGTTATATTGTTTGCATTTTTTCCCTGCTTTTGAAAAAGTCACTGGCTACCATAAAATACAGGAAGTTCTTAGCCACATAAACCTCTTGAGATGTACTTACTAAGCTTTGTTCGCGATTCCTTGTCCATAAAAGAACACAGCTCGTGAAGATTCCCTTGCAACCAAATCCTGATAGCCTCAACTTTTTCATCTCTTATATGTAGTTTGTCTATTAGAGCTTTTATTTCTTTCGAGATCTCCTCACCATCCTTGACCAAGTCCTTAAAAAAAAAAAAAAAAAACAGCATTTTGCAGTGTGTGAATATAAATTGCCACAAAACAGATCAAAACATTGTTATGGAATCATATACAAGATAGTACTATGCACACAAAATTGGTGTTAGTGCAACACAAGTGTCTGCTCACTGCAAATTCGCAAAGTCTTGTGAGAGATCTCAAAGGAGACAGCTTAGCAAGTGAGAAGGTTTAATAAAATGCTCACTGGACTCAAATTTGTAACCGGTAGGAGGGTGATGGCAGCACAGCCTTCAGAGCGGGGCCTTCAGAGCAGCACAGAACTGCAAAGGAAATAAATGCAGCAGCCTGAAAACTTAGGAGAAAGCGCTCTGGAGTCTGACTGGTCTCACTCTGACTCCCCCATACATCGTTAATTGCTTAGTCTTGGACCAGTTTCTCATACTCTGATTCTCAGTAGCTTCATCTGAAAAAGTCAGTATGAACAATTTCCTTCTCTGGTGTGTTCAAGCTTAAAGAAGAACCATATGGGAACTTGAAGTAGTTAAAAGGGGCAGAGCCAGGATTGAAGTGCCGTGTATTTGCCTCTGTAGGGGGAGAAGGTGCAGATGCCGCTGGGCTGGCAAGAGATGGAGGATAGATGGGATTCAGGACTAACAACTATCTATGTTCAATGTGTGCTAAAAAAATAAAATGCTGTTCCTAATTTAACTGCACTAGAGTGGGAAGAGTTTCCTGAAGGGTTAAGATGTCATAGTGAGATCTGGCACAAAGGACACGTGTTTAGGACGCCATGCATGCAAACACACCTTACTTGAGTGTGCGCACGCATACACACGCATACACACACATACTCGTTACGTAGGTGAGTGTTTTTAGAAAGACACAGGAAAACTTACCTTAACTGTGACATGATATTCAGTCCACAAACTCAAATATTGTGCTAAAATGAAGGGTGACAAAATGTAAAGTTTACTGAAACAATTTGATCACTTAAAGTAGTCGTTAATGTTTTTTTTAATTGTCAGTGTCTCCCAGTTGTTTTAATTTTTAAAATTTAAAAAGACATATCACATAAAAGTCACTGTTATTATTTTTAGTACAGTTCAGCTGCATTAAATACATTCACACTACTTGTGTAGCTATCACTACCTCTGTGTCTTCCATCTTGCAAAAGTCTTTTGCACCTGTATCCACTCACAGTGCAGGGCGGGGCTTGTGGGGCCGGGGGTTCACTATGGATTCAGGCAGATGGATAAGGAAGAATGCAGAGCCCTAGGTGGATATTTCAGGCCTTAATGCTCTCAGAGAACCAGGCACCCAGGCACACCAGGCGGGAGGCTGGCACGCAAGGAGACAGACATGGGCCAGGCAGGGAGCACTGGAGGCAGGCAGGCAACTGAGGCCCCCGCCCCCCAGAGTCTTTACACTCTGGCACCTCGAGGTCTTGACTCTTCTGAGTCACGCTGCTCCTCCTCCTTTCATTGCTGCCGCTGGGATCGTGCCTCCTCTAGGCCAGGTGGACACACTTATGCAGGCATGCACACCTTCACCCAGGTGTCCACAGTCAGGAAAGCATGCCCCGCCCACCACCCACCCAAGCTCCTTCTGCATCAACAAATCAAGGCCTCAGGTGATCGCCACAGGCTAGTGGTTCAAAAGCCTTATTAATTCACTCACCCTACAATCCCCTCCCGCCCCCACCTTGGAATTTTTCACACCATCCACCTGTTATTTTTTGTTTTTATGTAAGTTTTCCTTGGCAAATGTGGAACACCATAGCTATGTCCGACAAAAGCAAACAACAATGCAACTGAATACAACAGAATACAACTAAGCCCAGTCCACTAAGGTGTTAGGGCACCAACCTAGGGTAAAGACAGGTTATTGACACCAGTAGACAATTCATCAAGTCTGCTACTGAAGGCACTGCTCATGTGAAGGAGGTACCCAACACCCCCAAACCTACCTGCTGTAAATAGGTTTGCCATCCACCACGTCAAGAGAAAACATGTAAGTCCTTTAATGGAGAGAAGCCTTAATACAGTAGTGTGTAACAAAGAAAAGGGGGAGAGGGCCCTCCCTTGTGGCGCAGCGGCTTAAAGCACGGCACTAAGAAGCTAAAGCCACTTCTGCAAGAGTTTGACGCCCGCCTGCCTCGGAGGTGACCCCACATGGTGTGGCAGACCTCTCCTGACTTGCCCGCTGCTTCCCTCAGCAGTGTACTTCGTCTATCAGCCTGTTCTGCTCCCCACTCTGACTCTGGTGAATCCTCTCACCGGCCTGCACCTCTGGCTTGTACCCCAGTTCTGTATGCATAAATAAATAATCTTTAAAAAAGAAAGAAAAGGGGGGAGAATGTAGCTTCCAAACCAAGCACCCGAAGTTACCTACCCCTTCACGGGTAAATGTCCAGCTAAACAGGATTGGCTCAAATCAGGGCACTGAGAGCCGAAAAACTACCACAAGCCTAAGCCACCTCCTGATAGGGAACCATAGAAAAGGGCAGTCTGGGAGGAAAAGAGGAAAGTCAAAATGAAGATAATGCTGCCACTGTTAACCTCCCCACGTATCTCACCCGCATCTGTTTGAACAGTCCAGAACCAAAAAGCAAGTGCAGTTTCTTTACGTGTCCCTGTGCTCCACATGTCTCCTCCAGGCCTCCTTCTGGCTCTCCATCCTGCTGCCTCCTTTCTCCAGGCTTCTCACCAGCTTCTCCTCCTCCCTGCTCAGCTCCACCCTCCCTTGGGTGGGGCAGGGAAACTGAAACCTCCCCTTTCCAGTAGGAGCACAGCACCTCTCCTTCACTCACACTGCCGTCACACACCAGGAGCCATCGCGGTTCCTGGCCTTCTCAGTGTGTGCTTATGATACAGGGCAGCAAGAGGCACTAAACTGGCCAAGGACAGTGCCCAAAAAATTTATCTGTCACTAAGTTCTTCACCTGCACACAGAATTGCAAGGCTACTGCAGTTCAGAGAATAATGGGATTTAACATACAAGGAAAAAGAGTCGATGTGACCACACGTAGTTGTTTACCTCACCTGAAGCAGGGGCCAGTGTTTTAAATGTCTAAACAAAGTGGTCCCCAAGATAGCATCTCCCCAGCATTGAGGGCCTGGGGCATGTGGCAGCCAGTTATAGATTGGGATCCAGCTCACGAAGACAGCAGAAGACATCTCCTGGGAGATGCTCAGGATCTGCTGAGATGCCCACAGCACCAGACAATTAACGCTGAAAACAGCAGCCACAGCAGCTCAATGACCTGGCAAGTGGCCACATTCAGGCCAACGCTGGGCCAACACTGGGCCCCTCCCTTCCAGCAGCAAAGCTGGCATGAGTTTCAGTTGCTCTGCTACCTGCAAAGCCTCTGAACCTTCTCTGCTATTGGCTGCTGGAAGCCCCTCCTTTGTCCTTCAGAGGCCCACAACAGCCTTCTGGAAGATCTGCATGATCAGAAATGGGTGAACCACAAGTCAGTAAAGATCTGAAATCGTGAATGCTGAATCTCGGGGGCTGCTTCTTCAAGTCCCTTGCATTTCTTTAAAAAATAAAAAAATAAAAAAAGAGCTGGAGTACAGGCCAGAGGTGCAGGGGCAGTAAAAGTCTTCACCAAAGACAGTGGGGAGCAGAACAGGCAGATCAGGGAAGTACACTGCTGAGGGGAGCAGTGGGTGAGACAGGAGGGATCTGCTGCTCCATGTGGGTCACGCCGGGGTCAGGGATCGAACTCACACTGAGGTGGCTGTGGTCAGCTTGCAGTGCTCTGCGCCCTAACCCATTGCACCACCAGAGAGGGCCCCCTTAATACTTCTTTTAAGAGTCTCCACTCCCACCTGTATTTTGTATTTCACCTGGGCCTATTCATCCTCACCAGCAACCCCCCCTCCAGGGGGCACCACCTGTAACAGTCTTTGACTTCAGGCCCTGGTTACAGTCTCAGCCAAAAGCCATATACTACATCCACCCCCACGATGTACTCTGAGATCGGAGACAAATACACTGTATAGTCGCTGGGGGTAAACAATCCCCAGAGGTACCCTCACTGCTGTCACGCCAACACCTGGCCTTCATAGCCACCAGTGTAACAAGCAGACCCCTGGATACCGCCAACCCTTTGCACATGCACTTGGCTTGGGGATCCGTGGGTAAGTAGCAAGCTCCACCTCTCTGCTCCCTGCTCCGGCTGTGGTCTCCACCACAAACCATGCTCCCCAGCCAGCCTCCATGGACGGGCTCCTTAGCACCTCACCCCTACTAAAAAGTGGACAGGGTGTCACCCACTGGGGACTTTAAGAGGCTTGGTGCTTTTTAGCATCTTTCAGTTGCTTAAAAACCGCTTAGGACATACTGACCACGGCACTAGCTTTTTGAGTAAGTCGTCTGCGTAGAGACTTCTGCGTGCCTGCAGAGTAGCTGGTGAGCCTTCCCCCCTCAGCCAGCCACGGGCTCCCACACCTGCCCCTGCGTCTTCTCTGAGCTGTCTGTCTGCAGGGGCTGGTGCCACTCAGCTGTGCCCTCGGTGGCTCCCTGCTAGGCAAGCACAGCCACCCTCTGTGGCCCTGGGAAAGCTGGTCAGTGCACAGGCTGCTTTAGACCACCGAGGCCAATAGGCCAACCCTTGATTTTCATCTCTCATTTACCCCAGATACCATCGCCATAACAGCCAACTCCCAGAGTTCTCCCGCCTTCTGGTGGAATTGTGTGTCCATCTGTCTTATCCTTGTGTCACCGCTGGACAAGCTCCAAGTGATGAACTGTGGCCCCCTCCCTTCCCCTGGGACTGCTGCCTGAGGGGCAGTGGGCTGTTCCTCGTGGGCCATGTCCTCACGAGCCTTGTAACGCAGCTCCTGGACCTTGGCCGCCTCCTGCATTCTGGCAGCATCTTTGGCTCTTCAACAGCTCCTGGACTTTGCTGCCAGGGCGCCTCCACCAAGCCCGTGACTCCCTCTGCAGAGCTGCTGGCACCCAGCCCTGCCCACTAACACCCAGCATGGTAGGAAGCCTGCAGGCTGGCTAGGAGGTGGCTGGGGCTGGGAAGCTCGAGCAGGGCCGCAGGTGACTGCTACACAGGCTAATGGCATAAAAAGCCTGGTTAACTCACTTACCCTACACGGCACAGAAACGCCTCACTCCCTGCCCCTTCCAGCTCCTGGCAATCACCATTCTACTTTGTCTCTGAACCAAAAAATATTTTGATCTACAATTTTTTACTTTCAAGGTGGCAGAAAAATTGGATCAGATGTGTCCTCCCATTGTAAACAAGCAATAAGTGGGATAAAATATATCAAGTAGATATATTAGTTGTTTTCAGATAATGCGGAATGCACAGGACAGGAATACAATACCTGACAAAAGGAGACAAATGAGGTGTGCCTTGCAATTAGCTTCTGCCGGAAGCACTTTACAGCAGAAAGGCAGTGCAAGTAGGGCAAGGCAACTTGGCACAAAAATTTATGCAAGTCTTAGCAAAATGAATTCAGTAATGTATTGGAACAATAGTAACTTTTGAACCAGTGGGTGTCGGGACCGAGACCAGGACCTTGCCTCCTATGCACAAAACAACGCCTGATCGGAACTTAGGGTAAACATCCCGGTTGAATCCCTTCCCCACTCTCCTTCCCTTCCCGCTCAGCAAGTTTTGGCGCCAAAGAGATGATGATGGATCCCTCCCCTCAAACCCATCGGCCTTTAAGACCATCAGACCACCCCCCGCCCGTACCTTCTGTGCCGCCCTCAAGTATATATATATATATATGACTGTTGTAAGGAAAAACGCTCGCACGTGTCTCCGTCTTGGCCTTCTTCCTTGTGCTGTCCCTGGGGCTCTACCCCCTCGCCTTGCTGGTCAAGGCCCCTCGCAAGTGGGTTTTATCCCAGGAACGGGAGACTGGTTTAATATTCAAAGAGCAATCAGTGCAATGTACCATACAGACTGTGTACAGGAGAAACACCTGAGCTGCTCACAAGCTGCTTAGTTAGTGGAGGTCAGCAGAGGTCAGCCACACAGACACCATGGGCTCTGTGTACAGGAGAAACACCTGAGCTGCTCACAAGCTGCTTAAATAGCGGAGGTCAGCAGAGGTCAGCAGAGGTCAGCCACACAGATACCACGGGCTCAGGACACCCAGGCCCAAGTGAAACCCCTAGCCGGGGAACACTTCACATGTGTTGTTTGATGTCATTGCTGGGCATTTGAGGAGCACGGGCGCTGTCCTGGGTGGTGGCCTCCCGGGAAGACAGATGGCAGTCAGCGTTGGTACCAGACACGGGAAGGAGAGGATCTGCAGATGATTCTGCAAATTCTGAACTACGCCCACCCCTCGCTCCCAGGTGATTGTGGAGCAGACATCTGCTGTTTTTACCATGCTCTGACCACACTGCCAGTTTGTAGGCAAAGTGAATGATGTATATTTGTTTTGCCTCCATAGATATCGGTTGAGTATCAACATTCACAAATGATTTACAAGTGGTCAAAAGACACATGAACGCAACTCAGCGACTTTTGTCATTAGGGAACTACAGTGACATGCCATCACATACCAATTAAAATGTTAACAATTTTAAGTGTTGGTGAGGATGTGGAGTATCCCATAGTGGGTTGATAAATGTGCACAATAATGGACAAATTGACTGCTTCTTATAAAGTTAATCATACACTAACCCTATAACCCTGTAATTCCATTTCTAAGTATTTACCCTAGAGAAATGAAAACAAATATTCATGTAAATGCTTGTAAACACATAGTAACTTGGAGATAATCAGATGGTGAATGGATAAGCAAAACATGGTACATCCTCAGGCTGGAATACTAGACAGCTATAAAAGGGAGCAAGCCAGTGAGACATGAACAACACAGATGGATCCTAGAAACCGGCTTGCTGAGTGAAAGAAGCCAGTGGCTATACAGTGCATACGTGATCATTCTAATTTTAAATATACTCTGAAGTGGATGTGAATACATTCTAGCTATCTAATCTTCAGTTACAGAACAGATCAGTGGTTTCCAGGAATTGGAGGGTGTGAAGTCAACTACATAGGGACACTGGGGGAAATTTGTCAGTCATAAAAATATTCTTTATCGTGTTTCTGGTGGTAGTGGTTAAGGTGGTATGTGCATTTATCAAAACACGTTGATCTTGAAATGTGTGCACTTTAATGTATGCAAATCAGTAAAGTTGGTTTAAACAAAACTAAAACTTTAATTCTCATAGTAAGATCACCCACAACCCATTACTTACTGTGATGAGATATCAGTTGCCAAGACAGGTCACTTGAGTTGTGGAGGAGATCTTCTTTTCCTTCTTTGTATTGCTGTGTAATCTTCTTCATGTATGCTATATACTGGAAAGTAAAGGCATGTGATTGCTTTAAGCCATTTAATTACTTTAGATCATTTATCTGTGGCATCATTCAACAAACACTAGTTTCTCCTCTGTGCTGCCTACCTGTTCTGGGAGCAAAGGTAACCATGGTAAACAGAGACTTTGCCAAGCTTACATTCTGGTGAGGGACATGAAGTTTTCTGCCTCCTAGTAAGCATTTCAGTACCTAAATCAACATGGAATCTGAGTATAATTTGCCACAAAAGAAAATAAAAGGTAATCTGCCTAAAGGCATTGTGTTTGCACTCACACAAAGTGGTCCTTAGACGAAACGAGTGTGCAGTGAGTGTTACAAGTCAGCAATGGGGCTTGATTAGATGGTTCAGGATAACACTGTGAAGGAGGTTTGTCAGGTGAGGAGACTTCCAGGACTGCTTCCTCAGTTCAGCTGTTTTCTCAGAATGACGATGTAGGGTGAGTATTTAAAGTTGTGCCTTCTGTGGTCATCACCCAAAGCCCAGGAACTCTCAACTCCAAACACTAATGCTTCTGGGAACTCAGAGAGGATGGGCTCTGGGATATAAGCATGGCACTGGCCGAGTTTCTGAAGAGAAATAGCCAAATACTGTGAACTCCTGATAGAAGTCTTAAAAATTCCATCCAGAGCTGTAGGAGGGGTAGACGCAGAAGAGTCACGTCGGACTGCTTAGCAGCACACATGGCGCCTACAGTCCTACATGGGCTGCATCGATGTTGGCAGCTTCTGTAGTTAAGCAATGCGAAAGCTGCCTGAAGCAAAGCCCATGTCACTGCGGACTTGCCTGACCCAGCTGTCCTCGTAATTCTCTGACTACCCTCCACTGGTTTCCCTTCTGGTCTCTTCTACAGTTTATACTTTCAAAGTTGTCTTTCTCCAGAGCTCTGCTCACAGCTCACTCTTCTCATTGACCCTGAGGAATCCTACCCATCTGCTACCTTGATGCTAAGACTCGTAACCAGACTTCTCCCTGAGCTCCTGACCTGGTGGGTGGGCAGCTCTTGCAAGGTTTAGCCTCTGTGCCCTTGGGCAGATCGTTGCACTCAACACACTGACTCACAAGTATTTGTTTCTGTGCTCGTCTCAGAGGCAGTTGGCTTCCTCAAGGCATGGGGCAGTGTGTGATTCATCTCTACATTCACTGTACCTCCCCGAGGCTTGGAACTCAGAGGTACTTAAAATGTTTGGGGAGTAAAGGAATGCAATCAGCAAAAGAGAGGGTGGTGAGTGAACACAATAATAGCATGGAGTCACCTAGAGGCTGACAGATGGGTACTGACTTTGAAATCACAACTTTTGGAATCAGTCTTTTCCATGGTCATTCAATTTGCTCACCCATTGCCAAAATCTCAATGGAAGTGCCAACTCTTTTAATAAATAATCTACATCTTGATATGAAGACAGTCTGGTGAGATATTTTTGGAGGGATGAAATTCCTTACAAGTTTGTTAGAAGGCAGGGTGGTGGCACATTTGTAGGGAGGTAGAGACAAAAAGGGACGTAGGCGATTATGTTTTCTTTATCTGGGTGGCTTTGTTTCCTGATCCGGGTTCGGATGACCTAGGTGTATTCATTACACCATGCTCTTGTGATTTGCTAGAATGCATCTACTCTAAGCTCATTGAACAAGTGTTAAGGAAAACTTTCCTTTTTTACTTTTAACTTTTACAGGTCCAGGCAATCTACCAAAACAACTGTGCAAAATGACATGCTCATGAACTTACTTGTTTTAATCTTCTGTTTTCCAGGAGCAGAGCATCTGTTTTTAGGTCATATACATAGATTTCATTTTCTAATTCCTTTAGAATTTCAAAATGATTTTTGATTTTACGGCTTTCTTGCTCCCGTAAATGTTTCAGTTCTTCCTTCAATTTATCCTTCACAAACATAAAAACCCACAATTATCTCATAGTTCAACAAGCATGGAACCTGTGAATTAAATGTCTTAGATCACATTCAGAGAGAGGTTCTAATTCCTGGGCTGTCAGCAGAGTAATAGATACCTTCCCTTAGAAAACTTTATACTGACATCCAAAGCTGATTCATATAAACTTATTCATGGACTCTGGGAAGGCCCAGGAACCCCAAGTGAAATAGTTGATGTATCTTTGCAAAATACCGTATACTGTGATATGTATACTGTGATATATGAATGGTCTGGCAAAAGTGGGAAAGTGTGGGATTTTTCAAGGAGGATTTAGTGCCTCTTAGAAAAAGAATACTACTACTTTATAGAGTTTTCAGAATTCTCTGCTATGTTCTTAACTGAATTCTCTGTTCAGGTTTCAGTTATTATATTGTTATAAAACACATAATCGTCATTCACTATATATCATCACTAGCAGGAGCTTAAGAAAATAGAAAAAATAGAATTGTGTATATCTATCTATCTATCTATATATAGATAGATAGATATATAATAAACTTCCATGTCAGTTTCCCCTTTACATCTCTCTATATCCTTAATATTTGAAAGTCCTTTGGATATGAGTACATCTCAACTAAAAGAATGTTTCCATTTTTAATTAACCAAATCCACACATTTATCAATTAATTGTTAAAGTGAATCAATAATCTCTTTACCTGCTCCCCTTTCATCTGTCCCCCACATCCAACCCCATCTTCTCCCCACCTACCTTTGTCTTCATGGGAAGTTCTCAGGATAACAGCTGAGAGAAAGTCAGGGAGCATAATCCAGATTTTCTCTCACAAATAAGAACGCTCCATGATTTTCCCAACTACATGTGAGTGATCTTTCGAGTTTCTCTCTCCTTTCCCCCTCTCTGCACCCCCCACTCCCTTTCCTTCATTTTCTCTCTAACTCTAGTTTCAAAACACTAGTACTCAAAGGGTCAGTTTAATAAATGTGGATTTCCTGAAAACTCCAACGATGCCAGTTAAGTGTTACTGCCTGTGTATACCAATGTTCTAGTAAGAGAAAGAAGAATGAATATACTGACTCTTTACCATAGTGATCCAGTATCCTGAGAAGTCCCTTGAGTATTGAAAAATGGACGTGTCCAGTAAATCATGCTCCTGCTTGAGTACTATAAAAAAGAGAAAGAACAAAAGAGAGAGAAAAATAAGTACCTGCAAAGTTCTCCAGTTTAAAAACATTAGTCAAAATAAGACACATGCCAGGGTATTTTTAAAATAATAAAGTTTATAACAATAATAAAGTTCACAACAAGTCAGGGGTCCTTCCCCTCGACCCGCCCTCGCCCCATACCCCCCCTTACAGCCCAGTGTTTCACTCCTCAGAATCAGTCATTTTAATAATTTTAAAATGACTTTTCTTCTTTATTTTCTTAGAAAATGCTTATGTGGCTATTTTTTATTTTGTCATTTTAAGGCATTTTCTACTTCCTAATATTATAGAAGAGGATATATTAATAGTAAGTTTACTCTCAACCCCTCATACCTACAACCTCCACATTTCCTCCTGCTAACCTCCCCCCAAAGTTATGGTTTTTGCTGAAGTAAAGGTCCACTACTTAGGCTATGGTAACAACATGACTATTAGTCCCGTGTGAGACAGGTGGTGTAGTATGTTTCCTTTTATATATATATTCTGTTTTTCCCAGCATTAAAAATGCCACCTATATATCATTAATTCATATAAAATTCCCTAGCAGAGCTATAGCAACCTCTGGGTGTTATTTAGCCCCGGGTCAGACACTCAGAGTCCTGGGGCTCCGCTCCCCCCTCCAGGCCTCCTGCCTGTGCCTGCCGCTGGCCAGGACTTGGCATGTCTTTGCTGTTGGGCCTCTGGTTTCCTGACCCTCATATTGTCCTTGACTTATCCCCTCTACTAATGAATTTTGTGAAGCTAGTGACTTCTGTATGCGCTTCCTAAGTGAGAGTAAATAAGGTATTTTGATGTTGTATGTATCTAAAAATGCCTCTATTCTATATTTATAGTTTACTGATAGAGAAATTGCCTAGAATAGCTGCTACTAATTCTTATTTTAAACAGGCTTTAAGAGAGTAAAGGAAGATGGGCCCTCCCTGGTGGCGCAGCTGGTTAAAGCACTGTACTACGAAGCTTAAGCCACTTCCTCATGAGTTCGATTCCCGCCTGCCCCGGAGGAGTCCACATGGCGTGGCAGACCTCTCCTGACCTGCCCGCTGCTCCCCTCAGCAGTGTGCTTCATCGATCTGCCTGTTCTGCTCCCCACTCTGTCTTTGGTGAATCCTCTCACCCTCCGTATCTCTGGCCTATACCCCAGTTCTATATGAATAAATAAATAAATCTTTAAAAAATAAAAAAGAGTAAAGGAAGCATTTGATAACAGCAACAGTGAGACCCTGGTGTGGCTGAGAGAAAGTACTAGACAGGGCAAACGCAAGATAACAGTTAAAGGTAGCAGAGAAAATTGGGGGATTTTCACCACAGGCTGGTGACTGATGCCTTGCCTGGGGTTAGAAGACAACCACGGGATTTTCCCCTGGGCTTCAGGTAATTCAGGTCACTTACTAAATGTTTCATACAGACCTGGGAGAACAGCATGGAGCTCTTCCAGTTCTCTGTTTCTACTTGTAAAATTTTCTTCTGCCACCTGAAGATGTGGAAGACACTCGCCAAGTTCTTCTTCTTTTACTTTTGTACTTTGCTGTTCCTTCTCAACTCTTTGCTTTAGAGAGAATGAAAGCATTTTTAAAAAATGATTAGAAAATGAAAGCATGGTGAGATACAGTTTTCGAGAATTTGTACAAATCTACAGTGAGTTCTGTCTTTGGCCTGTACAAGGGAGAGAGAAATAGGTGTCTCTCCTGCTGTCGAGAGCAATCAGAAGGTTTCTCGGTTAGAACTCACACTCTTCAGAGTGCTGCCCATTTCCTCTTTAAAACGTTTATTTTCAGTTATGTTAGCCAAGTTGTCTACACACATAAGTTGAGAGAAACTCCACACACCAGCAAGGCAATGCCGGGCTTGCTTCCCTGCAGAGGAACCCTCTGAGCGCAGCTGCCCAGGACTGAGTGTCCTCAGCCCCACCAAGGTCATAACTCAGAAGCAAGAGAACGAGACTCGCACAGGGGAGCGAAACAGCCCTCTGGCCAAGCAGCCTCATGTTTAAATAGAAGCCAACACCTGTGGGGCACATCTTTTGGTCCCCACAAGAGGCACCAAATTGCCATTAGAATCCTTATGGATAAATGTAGAAAATGAAATACACAAGAACATCGTAACTTCAGAGTATCAGAGTGCAGAATCAGTAGTAATTTCTCCAGACTGAAGTGTTAAGAAACTCGACTGTGCGTTATCCACACTAAGTTCTCTAAAAGAGGACCAGAGGGTACAAGGAGACACATGAGGCATCCACTCATCCCCTGACAAGAAACCACAATTAGTTTATGCTTTGGAGAGGGCTAGGCACCAGGTGCTGCTGCAGCTCAGGCCAGCTAGAATCTGGGCTCTGCGCTCAGCTTGTGGCCGTGGGGCAGCCAGGCAGGGGCAGGGTCAGCTTCTCCAGCTCCATCAACTCCCCCCTCAGTGTCTCACTCCCCAGCCCTGTGCACACCGAGCACAGTGACAAAGCCTCTGGCTTCTGCTGCAACTCCCGGGAGGTGGGATCTTGGACAGAAGAGACCCAGGCCCATGAATTCCAGCTCATTCTGCAAGTTCCAGTTGCCTGTGCTTTCCTTCACTTCCATTCATCTTTTCTCTCCAACCTTTTCCTGCTGCCTCTGGGCCCAGATCCAGATGCAAAGTTGAGAGCCCCACAAGGCTGCATAACCAGTTCCCACAAGAGAAGGTTCCAGCCTCTGCCCACCCTGCTTCCTGGAGGCACTGCTTGGCAGTCTGCCTGCAACAGGGCTGTGGACAGCAGCCGTGCAGAGCTCTGTGCCGGAGCTAGGTGGAATGCTGTGGAAGCCTGTCTGAGCCAGGTCAACAGCACAAAGCTGATTAAAGATAACGCCTCTTAAACTGGGGACACAGGGCTGTTTTCCATGGAGGGAACAGATGAATCAGGTACCCAGTGGCAGTGAGCTGCCTGTTAAACATAATGGTTTTGCTTTCCTCCCCTGTGATGTTGGGCTCTGTTGGTCTGGAGATCCTACTACTGACTGCAAGAAGGTGTCCATCAAGGATGCAGCAATGAATGATCCCATGGACCAAAATCTGCACCTGTGTCCTCTTCATTTGGGATTCCTCATGTCACTGACCAAAGCAGAAATAGAATTCAATATGCCGGGGGGATGACAGGCAGGGCGAGAGTACTGCGGTGCTTATAGGAATGGCATTGTTGCTTAGTAACAACGGGCCACAGGCTGCCCTCGGCCATGTCTTTCTGCAAATAAGACACAGGGCCACACAGGTACCCTGCGGGGCATGCCGCCTGGCAGGGTGTCCACAATAATCTCTCATCTGCCATCTTGTGCCTCTAATTATCTCAGCTAACTGCACTGTCTAATCTTGAAGACTATGTTAAGTAGCACCCTTATCTTCTTCTTGCCTCTAAGCAAACTGCCCTTGTTGTTTTATCACTGGGTCTGAGGGTGAACTCTGATAGCTCTACCTCAAAACATATCTGCAGTGGGATCACTTCTTGCCACCTCCTCAGTTACCGTTTTGGCTCAAACTACTCAAATTATTTGATACATGGCTTTTGCTTGACTCATTTGCTATAACTGGTCTTGTGTCCACTGCTAATTCCCTAAATGCTACTTAAAGCAGCTTGACAGATCTTATTGAAATGAAACTCAAGTTATTTCAGCCCTCTGCTTAGGCTCTGGGAAGGCATCCCAGCCAAGGGAGAGCAGAGGAAAAGCACTCACGGTGGCCCACAAGTGTGGCAGACCTAGGGATGCCCGTGGGGTCCCCTCCAGGAAGCATGTGCTACCTGGGGGAAGGGTTGCAGCTAGGGGCCAGCCTCCAGTGTCGGCTCCCTCAGAGGCCTCTCACTGTGTTGGGTTCTTCAAGGGGCCGCCCTCTGCCCACAGATGCACAAAGAGGTCATGCAAGTGCACTGCCATTTCTGCCCAAAGTGTGACTCTTCTAATGGACAATTCTTACTCCAAGTTCCAGAGAATGTTTCAGGTTATATAATGGTCTGGGGCTTCCTCTGGCCTCCTTCCACAGGAAACCCTTCCTCAGAAATCTCTGCACACCAAATTCCAGCTCAGCACCTATTTCTGAAAGATGAAACCCAAGCATCCCCCGACCTCTCCCCCATGTCTGCCCCAGCCACTGCTCCTGTCGTGGCTGCATTTCTGGAAAGGGGGAGGAACACCGAACAGGTGCTATGTTTTTTTTTTTTTTTAAATAATATACTAGTTTATTTTTACATATTTTTGTACACTTTTCCATCTCAGTTGCAATCCCATTGGGTTTCCCATCACCAAATCACCCATGTGCCATCACCATAGTCCAGTGCATTTCCCTCCCCCGACTATTTTTGATCCCATTCCCCATTCCACCCCAGCAAAATGTCTCTGGTATATAGCTGTTCGTCATTATCATTATTTTCTCACCTTGAACAGGTGTGATTTTTCTGACCCCACTTACACCCAGCAGATTATGAGACAGATTTCCTGAGTGGCAGTAGGAAGGAGTGAGTGAATGTGTAAATGGAAATGGAATGAAGCAGAAGGAGCAGCCATGTGACCATGGAGAAACATGTAGAGACAATTGAGAGAGGTACTTGTTCATCTTTTGACTTGATATTATAGCCACAGATAGCAAGTTATCTGCAGAGGATTTCTGGCAGGCTGTTTCAAGTCAGTAATGCTCTCCTCTTAAGGGGGTTCTGGGGCTGGTCTCACTGGTTCTCAGCCCTGGGTTACCCTCTCTACTCCCGTAATAACTTTGACAGCTTCCCACACCCACTCACCCATCTCCATGGTATTTCATAAGCATTTACACGTAACTTGGACTGTGTGACTTTTTTTTTTTAACTGAAAAAAAAATCTTATCGTTCTATGTTTTTCAGAAGAGAAAAAAATTCATAATTAAATTCTGGCCTTGTTATCTTGCATTCAATTGATTAGAACAGCATGAACTATGTCCCCTCCCATCTACAGCCACCTGAAAGTTATTCTTAGATGTAAAATAGATGTTACCTGATACTTGCTCAACTTATGCATTAACTTTTTTTCTTTGATAACAGATAGCTCCTCCTCTTGTTTTAACTTTACAGTAAGGCCTTCAATCTCTGACAAAAATTCATTGATATGTCTTTCTCTGAAACTGACCTAATTAGAGAAAAATGAGGGTTGGTGATTTCTCTTACAGCAGTTTGTCTTATATATATTTTCAAATACCCAGCTAAATTAATTCCTATTTGCATAAAACTTAGCTCTGACTTCAGGTTGTATTACTTCTAAATAACCCATGAGATAGACTTTTTCAAATTTCAGAGGTTAATTTCTTCACCTAGCAATATCTACAAATGACATGAAGAATGGGAACAGTGGCGGGTAGAGGGCAGACAGAGATACATAATGAAGCCAAATAAATAATATTTGGCCTCTCCATGTAGTTATAGAAATAGTCTGTAGTTTCTTTAAAAACTGACCTCAAGCAAGATTCTGGTTACATTCTTCAAAAGCATATTCTGATGAGCATAGTAATGTCTTTAATACACATCATATGTATATGTTTCTTAAGAAAATTAAATTGGGCTTCCTTGGTGGCAAAGGAGTTAAAGTCTTAGCACTATCATGCTATAGACAGCCACTTGTCATGAGTTATCTCCAGCCAGGGAGGTGACCCACATGGTGCAGCAGACCTCTTCTGTCTCGCTGCTTCTCTCCTCAGAGTGTATTTCAGTCAGTCCATCTGTTCTCCCCACTCTGTCTCTGGTGAATCATCTCATCCACCCACACCTCTGGCCTAAACCCCAGCAATTTATGCATAAATAAATAAATATAAAAAAGAAAATTAAATAGCTTACTCTAAGTCCTTTGCCAACATGAGGTAGGTAGGGAAAAAATGCCATTTAACAAAATAAGCTTTAATTAAATGTTAATTTTATTTATTTTATTGCAGAAGTACTCATCTGCAATCTAAGGAAGCAATACTAAATCCCTTGAGTTCTCTTACCTGTTTTATTAAATCAAATTTTCTTTGTTCTGCAAACTGAATTTTTTCTGTAACTTCTTGTAATGCATTCTTTTGGGCTATTAGCCAACGTGCATGTTGTTTTTGGAGACAAGATATTTTCCACTGAGTGAAAATACTAGCAATTAAAAATCAAAAGTTTACTATTAAATGGACATAATAGCATACTGGAAATATAAGAGAATTCTAAAGAAAACGTGTCCCACTATGACTATACAGAACTGTTTGTGCTATTAGCGGTGCTGACTATGCATATTAACAGAAAACACCTGAATAAAAACAAACATTTATTGCTTCAATATGCTGTCTGCAAGTGGCTTCAGAGTAAGACATATGCCTGCACTCTCAGGGACAAGCAGGTCAGCCACACTTGCAGCTGGCCTCCTGCAGGTTAAGGGGAGAAGTGGGGAAGGCTCAGGGGCAGGAAAGAGAAGACACAGGCAGAAACAGTAATGGAATTCTCTAAATTACCCAAAGTGCTAATAGGAGATTGCAAGCTTCCGTGTTGTCAAACTTTTCTGTCCACTATAACATTCAAAAGACTACATAACTGGAAAAGGGTAAATAGTACAAATGGAGTCTATTGATAGAAATGACATCAACAACAATGCCAAAAGCCCAAACAATAAAATACAACTTTGTTTCCACAAGTGCTGGGCACTAATCTAAATACATTTCACATTTCTGTTTCACATTGAAAGTAGTGGATGCGGCCCTCCCTGGTGGTGCAGTACAGCCCCTGCATCATATGAGTTATCTCCAGCCAGGGAGGTGACCCACAT